ACCCCAAGATAAACCGTCCAATTTCGAGCTACCTTCTGAGGTCGTAGCTGCAGACGATTTACAAGACGTCTCGAAGTCTATGGACCTCGAACTTCCAGCTGAACCAGCGCCAAGTCCGGATGAGCAATTCCCTGCCTTCACGACCACGAAGAAGACTAAAAAGCAGAAGCGAAAGTCGAAACAAGGAACCACAACTCCTATATTGGAACCAGAAGAACCTTCCACCTTGATCGAAAAAGCCCAAGCGCCCGTTGTAGAGCCTTCTATCGAACCGGTTAATGACAGAGGTATCGATGAGACTGAAATCAATGCTCAAATACCCTTCGAGCCTCAAGAAACCGCCTTACCAAATACGCGTAAAGAGCCTGTCGAGGAGGAGCCCTTCGGCTTTGCAACGAAAAAGAGCAGGAAGGAACAGCGAAAGTCTAAGAAGGGTGTAGCAACTCCTGTAGAAGAACTCGAGGCTGCTGAGCCAAGCGTTTCCCCTTCTAAGCCCGAGGTCAAGTCCAGCTTCGCCGATGCACGGGACGAGACAACTGCTGAGGATGAATATGGCCTTGAACGATCCATTCTTCCCGAAGAACCTTCCGATTTGCCTGTTCCCGAAGAGATACCGGAACCAGAATATGGTCCCGAAGCAAATCCTGAATTTTCAAGAGAAGATGTCGAGCAAGCTGACGAAGCAATTCAATCAACGGTGGAGCAGCCACAACATCCCGAGCCTTCGAGTATCCCCATATCCGATGACATCAACCGCGATCTTGGTAATGAGCTTGTACCAGCGGAGCCCAACAGTCAACCTGAAACGCCTTTCCCAAAAGCTACTGACTCAGCATTCGATCATTTCTTCGAGCAGCCTCCTAAACACAGATTTGAGGGTTACTCGGAGGAGCCAGCGGTTGTACAATCAGTTCCTACTCTAGGCGATTCAGCTCTCTACTTGCCAGCCGAGGACTTCGCTGACAAAGAGCGCCCGACGATCAAAAAACATACTCAAGAAACCACTACCAGCGGACGCTCCGAGTCTCCCAGCGCAGATATCGATTTCGCAGCAACTGTTGCTGCAGGGCTGGAAGACTCTGGCTTCGATCCCAGACTTGTACTTAGCGACGCATCATTCCACAGAAAATCATCGCCTCCACCGATAGCCGGAGAGGCCGATCCCGAAGAAGATGTGGCTGTGTCCAGAAAGAACGGCAAGAAAGGAAAGAAGGCCAGAATGAGCCGCACTTCGTCTGTTGGTCCCATCTCCGCGTCCGACGAAGTCGTGGAATCCTCAGGGGATCTTGATGCTACTCCAGAACCTCACTCGGTGGCTGAAAATACTGTCCAGGCACCACCAACTCTCGGGGAGCATAGTTCGGAGTTTGACCCTAACCTCGTTCTCAACGATCCCATCTTCTCACGACGCCAGACTCCTCCAGGCACGCTTGAAGAGGCAGATCCTGATGAACTCTACCCTGTTCAGAAGAAAGGCAAAAAGGGAAAGAAGGGCAAGAAGGGACAGGCCTCAGTCCCGGAAACGCCTCTCGACTCGGGTATCACCACTCCACTTGAAGCCGACCAGCAACCTGTGCCAGAATCTTTAGCAGGCACTACGCGTGATCTTCCCGAGCCGGAACCAACACAACCAGCAGAAGCGGAGGACTTCGGGTATTTCACGAGCAAGAAGAAGGGCAAGAAAGGGAAGAAAGGACAAGCCTCTGTTTCAGGAAACCCGCTCGACTCTGGTATCACAACTCCACTTGAAATCAACCAACAGCCCGCGCCAGAAGCTCCAGCAGGCATTACGCGTGACCTTCCGGAGCCAGATAGAACCCAGCCTGCGGAGACCGAAGACTTCGGGTACTTTACAAGTAAGAAGAAGGGTAAGAAGGGCGGCAAAGATAAGAAACGGGCTTCTGTGACTCAAGAAAGCGAATCAAAGGCTGTCGAGGATCCGACGGTTGAGGCTCCCACGGATGTGCCTCCCGTTGTTGAGACTCCTGCTTTTGAGACCCCGGCTTTCGAGTCTGTGCGCGAGACGCCGAACTTCGAGACCCCAGCTTTTGAGATACCAGCGTTTGAGACGCCTGCAACCAAAACGGAAGAACGGGCTGTACAAGACTCAGATGAAATAGAAGTTGAAAAGGACAACAACGATTGGACCCCCGAACCCAAGAAGAAGGGAAAGAAGGGTAAATCCAAGCTTTCAAAGACTGCTGAATCGACATTCTCTGAGGAACCGCAATATCCGCGGGATGTCGACCAAGATACAACGTTTGCTCCCGAGGCGCCATTAGTAAACCAACCTACCGAAGATTTGCCAACTCTCGATCTATCGAAGGAAGTTTCCGATCTTGCGACGCCATTGGAAGAGAAACCAGAATTCGACTTCACCAACAAGAAGAAAGGAAAGAAGGGCAAGAAACAGCGTGGACAAAGCTATGACGAGGTTGCGCAAGTGCCTCGTGATGAGCAGCCTACCGAAGACTCATCTAGTAAAGACACACTGCGTAACGTGGCTGCTGGTACCGCGGCATTGGGTGTTTTAGGTCGTGAAATATTGAAAGGCGCGAAGGCTAAGGATCAAGAGGAAAAGGATGTGGAACAGGATGATGATGCGTGGGAACCTCAGTTAAATAAGAAAGGCAAGAAAGGGAAGAAGGGAATTAAAGAGGACGTGGAGGAAACGGAAAGATTACAGCCAGCAGAAACGCCCGAGTGGGAGACTACAAAGGAAGACGTCGCGGATCCTTCACAAGAATTGCCAGTCGAGAAGCAGCTATTTAACGAACCTAAGCAAGAGGTTGATGAAGGGGAGGAGTGGGGTGCGGTGTCTACAAAGAAGGGCAAGAAAGGGAAGACGGGCCGGAAGAGCAGCCAACCCATTTCAAGCCAGTCGACGGCTGCTGATCTGCCGGTGCCCGAACCGTCAGCGATCCAGGTTGGTCAGCATCTCGTCGAAGACAATACGCGAAGGGGTTTCTCACATCAATCGGATCACAAGCAAGAAGAGGAGATTATGCAAGAGCAGCCACCAGTAGGCAAACTCAAGAATCTTTTCCCTGGAGTGGAGAGGATCAAGCGGAGGGCACCTTCGTTCCCCGTGTCCGAAAAGCAGCCGGAAGAGAAGCGCATCCACCTACCGGAATTAGCATCAGAAGCCATGGAGAACTCAGAAAAGCCAAGGTTCGAGGCTCCAGCCATTGACCCTCCACTTTCACGAGAAATTCCGGCTGAGACAACCCCGCGAGACACCCACCTTAGGGTAGACCCGGAAGAGCAGCCCACCTTGACAAAATCTGCGAGCGCGCAGGGCTTGGCCGCCGCTATGGAACCAACATGGTCGTTCCCTCCAAATCGCGATAGCGCGGTGCATGTTTCCGACTCTCCACTTCTTCCGCCATCTCCATCATTCCACAGTGCGACAAGGGACAGTGGCTACCATGACACTCAAAGCCCTATGATCCGGCAGGGCCACGAAGCTTCCACCGAAGGATCTAGTTTGGCGCGGGAGCTTCCTCAGGAGACCCAATCCCAGGAACAATATCTGGAGGCTCATACAGACAAGCAAGCGGAGCGTGCTCGGGATGCCTCCGATTCCCAAACGTCTGCGTATGCGAGCACAGCCACCAGCTCTTCAGATCCCCTTCGAGTGTCTGTGGAAGCTGGTTCCGGCTGGGACGTGTCGGTAGCAAACGCCTTATCCTCGGAGCGAAGCAGCGAGACCGCAACTGGGACAAACGAGATGGAGTCTTCACGCGAATTAACAGGCCGCTCAAGAAGTCCGTCTCTGCCAGATATGGAGAATACTGGAGGTATGCTATCCTCCCCCTCCCCAGTTGATCCTGCATCCAAAGAGCGCACTTCGGTTCTGTTTCAGTCGTCGCCGTTAGTTCGTGACTTGCTCGATCAACCTGCTGAGTCACCGTCTACAGAGCGCGCTCGAAGCCGCCATCTCTCGCCGAGTCCATCCCCTACGCCAACTAGAGGGCCTCGGACTAGACACGTCGAAGAGCGACCGACTGCAAGCCATTCGGACTCTCCTAACGTACAACCACCAGAGTCTGTCCGATCTCTCTTCGGCGACCCAGCCGCGAGCAGGCAAGCGGGTAACTCTCACCAATCAGTCGAGTCTCCGGCAACACCTCAGTATTCAACTCCCTTGAAAAATGTGATGTCACCTGGCGCTCAGCTGCATACAATCACGGAGAACAGCCCCGATGATTCTCCTCTCAGCAAGAAGAGCCGCGCAATTCACGATGTCGGAGCACCAGATCGAGGAGTCAAGTCGGCTAGACGCTCTGAAACGCCCAAGTCATTCCAGGAGCGCCTAAAGTCTCCAGCTCCCGAGGCTACTCCAAAGACGCCTTTGAGTAGAGGACATCAGGCACCGAAAACTCCTCATTCAACGGACGACCCATTGTCGCGGCTTCCGTGGCCATCTGTAGACGCAGAGAACGACGCCATCGATCGAGGCATGACACTCAGCCCAGCACGACGCCTACCACACGATCAGCGCTCACCACCGGTCAACGTTGACCCTACGAAGCGCCGTGCCAGTGGCACACTCTCGCCGAGTGTCCTGAGCGACCGCTCAGGCGGCGACCGCTCGGCAGGCAGCATCACCAGATTCAAGACACCCGACCATCTGCGGCCTCACAGCGCAGCCAGCAATCGGTCAGCCACTCCGCCTCTGCGACGGGTGGATCGACAGGTGTCAGGTGACCTGCGGGCGGCATCGCGGCTTGGCGCGGTCCATGCGTTGGGCGCTAAAATCCCGTCACCACAACAATCCGACGTTTCCATCCCCGGACCGTCAACATACGACCCGCGCAAGGACAAGGGCAAAGCCCGCGCCCGAGACATGGACGATGTCTACGTAAGTTATTTATTGCACTATTGATGCATCCTTGATGATCGGAGATGGCTAACGCGTGTTACAGGAGGCTTGGGGCGAGGCGCAAGGGTCGCCACTCTCTCCCACGCGACCGCCCAGCGTGCGCAAACGTCAAAGCATGCACATCATGGACCTGCAATCACGCGTCGAACAGCTCGCAGGAGAGAACCGCTCTCTTCAAGAGGCGAGAGCCCAAGCCGAGGAAGAAATTCAAACCGCCCAGTACCAGCGCCAGGTCGACACTCAAGTCATGACCGAGGCTGTAGAAGCACGTGACCGCTCGATTCGCGAGAAAGATATCGAGATTGCGCAGATCCAGGACACCCTTCGCGCGTTACAACAAGAGGTCTCCCGACTCACTGAAGCACACGACAGTCTCACTGTAACCAACAAAAACCTCATCGACGAAAGCAATTCTCGCTTCGCACAGCTCCAGAGCGAAGGCCAGCAGATGCACGATCAATGGCAACAGTCTTCCCGAGAGCTAGAGGAAGCGCGCGCACAGCATGCCCAGCTCAGTTCTGGCATGGAAGAAGTCGTGCGCCACGAAATCGCACTCGCGCTGGATGATCGTAATGCGGAAATCGCCCGCCTTAACGAAGAGCTTGATACTGCAAGGGAGCAGATCAGGAGCTTGCAACGACAAATACTTGCCTCAAAGCAGGGCGACAGTTTCCTCGTCGTTCGGGACGAGGATTACTTCGACAGCGCATGCCAAAAACTCTGCCAACACGTTCAGCAATGGGTGCTGAGATTCTCAAAGTTCTCCGACCAGAAACAATGCAAGCTGTCCTCCGAGCTCAACAACGAAAAGATCGAAACCCGACTAGACAATGCCACTTTGGATGGTTCCAATGTTGACATACTGCTTGCAGACCGTGTCAAGCGCCGCGATGTGTTCATGTCGGTCGTCATGACCATGATCTGGGAGTATGTATTCACGCGTTACTTGTTCGGCATGGACCGTGAACAGCGCCAGAAACTCAAATCACTGGAAAAGACTTTGAATGAAGTTGGTAAGTTTTTGTGTGCACACACTTCAATCCTTTCTTCATCTAACACGTCCCCAGGTCCTACTCGAGCGGTGGCTCAATGGCGAGCAATTACTCTTACGCTACTTGCCAAACGAGATGTGTTCCAACAGCAGCGTAGCCAAGATACTGAAGCAGTCGTTCAGGAAATCTTCGGCACGCTCGCATCTCTCTTGCCACCTCCATCACATCTTCAGTCACAGATCCAGGAATCTCTACGCAACGTAATGCGCCTGGCTGTGGAGCTTTCCATCGAGATGCGAACCCAGAGGGCGGAGTACATCATGCTACCGCCACTTCAACCAGAGTACGACACGAACGGAGATCTCGTGGCTAAAGTCACTTTCAACGCATCCCTCATGAACGAGCGGAGCGGCGAAATCAAATCAAATGATGATCTCGAGGCGCGAGGAGCAGTTGTCAAAATTGTCCTGTTCCCATTAGTGGTGAAGAAGGGAGATGATTACGGAGAGGGCGAGGACGAGATTGTGGTCTGTCCTGCGCAAGTGTTAGTCGCGAAGCCGGCGACGAACAAGAAGGTCGTGAGGGTAATGAGTGGTGCTATGGATATTGATAGTCGACATAGTCGGTCTGCGCAGAGCTTGGTTCCAGAAAGCATGGATACCGGTAATTTCGTATAGATGGGAAGCAAGTGCATGGGATAGGGCTTTGGTATGGTTTCGGGTTTTTGGCGGCATTGTCTTCTTTTGGTTGGTTGATTTTCGGAGTCCAGAATACCTTCACGAATCTCCTTACGTGTCACGTTTGCAAAGCTATGGCTTAGTTTGGTGGGATTGATATTGGGCATGTATTAGATAGAGTCTGTATAGTTTGAAAAGCGTTTGGTTGTTCTATCTCTGCTGTCTTCAATGGGTGGTGATTAACCCGTATTGTCTACGTGAAACTTCTCCGACCACCCTCTTTGTAGAAATGTAAGCAAAAGTAACGAACGCAACTGCATGAAAACCACTTGTTAGACGTCATGTAGCCAAGAAAAGCGTTGTGAATACCTTTTTCCATGAAATAAAGTAGAAGCAACAAACTGAATCACCACCAGTCGAACTTACTATACGCCCCTTCTCTCATATTCCCACCTCTTACTCAACCAACACCCCACTCTCATCAATCTTCCCCTCACTCGGCTGCACAACCTGCCTCCCATCCCACCCCTTCATCAGCTTCACCAGCCTCTTCCTAAGCCCATACTGCATCCAAAGCGGCCACCCCCGATGCGGCTGCACAACCCACCAGCTCGCTGCCGGCAGCATCAAATGCGCGCTCCTTCCCCTTAACACCGCCTTCACGATCTCCTCCGCCACCGTCTCCGGCTCCAGCGCATAGGCTACGCCCCGCCTATCACTATCATCGAACCCCTTGAAGAGCGGCGTCCGCGTATACCCCTGGCACATCACCACCGTTCGCACCTTCTTCGCGTTATACACTGTCGCAAGCTCGGCCGACAGCCCCTCGTGGAACGCAAGGGCCGCGGCTTTCGAGGCGGCGTAGTCCACCATCTGCGGCGCTGTGAGGTAGGCGGCCGTGCTGGCGACGGTGAGGACGAGGCCGTGGTTGGCGGCGATCATGGCGGGGAGGAAGGCTTGCGCGAGGAAGTAGTGGGACAGGGTATTGACGTTGAAGGTGAGGTGGAGGTCTTTTTCGGTCGTGGAGAGGATGGTTTTGCCCCGCGCGCAGCCAGCGTTGTTGATGAGAACTGTGGGGTCGCCGAGGGTGGAACGGACGGATGTTGCGGTCGAGGCGATGGATGAGGATGAGGAGAGGTCGCATTGGAAGAAGTGGACGGTTGGGGGGGCTGTAAATCGGGCTGGATTAGCTATTTGGGGATGAGAGATGAGGGATTGGGGGTGGTCGTGAAGTTGATTTGAGATGCAGAACTATAGGAAAATGTCTCGTGTGTACCCCAGTCTGCCACTGTTTGAGTTACTTCAATGCGTTTTCAGGAATCTGAACGCGACAGAAGCTCTTCACCTTGCGCTATGTGGAAACTTGTTGAAGCACTTCAAGCAGTGGCAGACGGGTGTACACACGAGCAGAGCACTTGATGAGTGTGCCACTTTTTTTGTGCCTAGCGTGATTGACTCACCTTCATACTTCAATGGCTGGACATCCAAAACCGCGACCTTGATACCTCTCTCTGCGAGAAGCTTCACTACGATAGCTCCAATCCCATCAGACCCTCCCGTCACCACCACAATCTCTTTATTCCAATCATACTGATCGTTGGTCCAATTGTTCGTCACAGCGCTGTCAAGGAACTTGGAGACATATCGAGCTAGTCCAAAGCACAACAGCGTCTTGAGGTTCGTCAAGGCGCGTCCATGTTCTCCAGCGAGAGTTTGGCCTTTGACTGTGTATTTCGCCGCGAGAAGGAGCGGGAGCGTGACCGCGGGGTTAAGAAGAGTTCTCCCAATCAAGCGACCAATCGTGTCGATCGTGATGCCTTTAGTAGGTGGTTGTTAGTCGTGCTGTGGATGATGGTCGACGCGTAGGATGGCAGAGCTCACCTTCACGTTGGAGCATCCAGTCGCTTCGGATCGGCATCGTGCTAGACTTAAAGGAGCTTCAGTACTAGAAGCAAGCAATTGCAAAATAGCGGTTCAGGGAGAGAGGAGATAAAGATCTCCTGTCAAAGGCACGAGCATTCGGAAGACGGTTGCAATTGATCCCTTCTGGCTAATCTCTTCCCCAGGGGTCATGCATGGCTGGGGTTTGCGGGGTTGTGATCGACTCGACTAAACCGAGGCGTCTAGGTAAGTGGTCTCAATCCTGGAGCTTGCCCACCTTGTCTCAATGGCTTGTATTGTATGGGACGTATTTTTGCTTGTGAAGCCGACGAGGGCTTATTGTACTGCTTCACGTCACGCTAAGGCTGCATGCCTTCGGAGGTTGCCAACATGCTTACAAACACCCAGCATCTAGCAATGTGAATCCGATGTGGTTCGATTCGTTACTTTTACTTACATTAGTACCAGAAAGGTATCCAGGCCGCGTAGGTTTATTATAAGGTCACGCGAGGTGAAGCTAAACTCGCATCGTCTATGATTGAGATGATCGTGCAGTTCAATTCGTTACTTTTGTTAACATAAGGGCAAGGCAGCTTGCTGTTGGTCAGTATCTCAGCCCCAGCGATCACTATTGAGTATTTCAATCTTCCTAATCTCCAATCGCTCTAGCATTCACAAACTAGAAGTTCAGTCCCGTCACTTGTCCATCAACTGTATGGGATTCATTAACGTTACGCGTAGTACTTCCAAACAATCAAATCACCAACCACCATACCACCTCCTCAACAAAGCGAACAGCATATCAAGATTCCTCGGCCCTATCTGGCGCCACCCTCACCCAACCCTCCCCCCTCTCCCATCTCTCTCCGACCTCCTCTCTTTCCTTTTCCCTCGCTTCCTCTCTCCCCCTTTCCCTCCCCTCCAACCTCCCAACCCTCTCACCCATCTCAAATTTCAAATCATCCAACGCACTCCTCACCCCCCTCAACTCCTTCTCCACCTCCCTCCTCAAATCAAGACTCTCAGCCAACTGCACCCTAATCGCCCGCGCCAGCGTCTCCTTTACCCGCTCCATCTCACCCCCCATCCCCAGCACCTCGCTATCCAACGCATCGAGATGACACGATTGGAGCGAAAGGTCCTCAAGCGCGTATTCCCCCCTCTTAGGCGCGACAATAGGAGAAGAAAGTGGAAAGTGGACGCTGCGGCTACGGGGGCGCTTGAAGGGGGTCTCGGGGGAGTCGTCAAGGGGGGCTTTGCGTTTGAGGATGCTGCGGGTCGTTGATGGGGGGGTGGGGAAGGGTTGCGGGTGTTTCTGTTGCTGGGGCGGGGGTGGGGTTTTCGGTGGCGGAGGCATTGGCGCCGGGCGTGTTGGAAGAGGTGGAGGAGTTGGAATGGTGCTCTTTGGGCTCCGTGGTGCCGGATTGTTGTTGTTGGGCGGGGGCGGCTTCGCTTTTCTTGCGGCGGTGGCGCAAGATAAGGTATGTGATGCACATGGGATGGTGATGTTAGTTGGGAGGGTTATGTGGTTTCTGAGGTGGGTGGGTTGAGGGATGAGAGGGAGAAGGGGGATTGGGGTATGGTTTTGTAGTGATGGTGGTGACGGGGTTCATTGATGTGAAAGAGATAAGAGTCTAGGCGAATAGTTGACGCATGCGGCAGGGAAGTGGCCCATGGATACGGCTCATGGGATTTTGTCTGAAAGAGATGTGTTGTAGTTCAGCGTAGTATACTTCTGATCCTTTTGTCTGTGGCCGCTCTCAGTCATCACGTGAGCGTCACGTGATGTTCAACGACCCCCATATGGAGAACGAACTCAACGACTTTCCCAACAGCAGCTTGAGATATCTCCTTCGATGCAACAACCTCATAACGTCCTACGGCGTAATAAATATACCCGAGTAATAACGACTCGACTGAAATAGCTCTAGCTCGCCAAGCGCCCAAAAGCAAGAAGTCGTCATCCCGCTCCCGTCCAAGTTCCACCGCTCGTTCTCGACTCCACCCATACCCGCCCCGCCAGGCCACCACCGCCGTCATGTCACCGCCTACACCTCGAGCTCTGCTTCTACACCGCGCTCACTTTGCGCGTCCTCCGTTAAGAGCATCTTATCCGCCCGGTTGACATCCGAACCTACCTCTCCAACGCAAACCAACCAACTACCTACCACACCGCCACAATCCCCCGACCAAACCTACCACATCTCAACCCCCCGAGCTCCCTACCTCAACCCCAACAGCACAAATGTGCTTCTTCACAACAACCGAAACCCGCGAAGTGCGCCACGGCGTGACCGACCCGCCGCGGCACCGCTCCCGCTACTCCGCGCACCCACCGCCGGGCGTCGTGCGGGTGCCGGTTGAGTACCGGCGGTCGAGAGAGTACGACACGTACCGCACAAGTGTGGACCGGGTGGCGTATCGAGAGCCGCCACGGATTGAGTACGCGACGCCGCGGAGTAGTCGGGGGAGGGTCGGGGAGGAGGATACGTATCGGCGGAGTGTAACTTTTGTGAGGGATTGATCAAGGGGAGTTTCGGTGAAGGAAGCGGGAGATGTCTTGCGTTAGACATTTTGGAGGAGATATGCTAGTAGAAAAAGGGGGTCATTGTGTATGTGGTGGATGATATGATGATAAGGTATAATAAGGGCGCTGTGGGATACAATATGGAAATGATTTGATATGTGTTATGATAGCATTGGCATCTCTATGACCGGAGTGGCGTAAGAATTGGTATATATATATTCGCCAACATCCAAGCATTGATCTTGCATTTTCATCTTCACCCGCCCAACACATCAGACGTGACCGTGACCCGGAGCCCCTTTGAGTCCAGTTTTGCAATCGGCATAAAGAAGTCATACTGGATATGAAAATCCGACTCATCCGTCTCGTACAACTCAAACGTAAACCGGCGAAATATAGCCGCAAGCCCCAGGTAGATTTCCGCGTAGGCGAGACTGTCCACAATTAGCAATCATCCCCCCCATCACCAATCACAAATATATAAAGAAAGGAGCCAAACCCACTTCAACCCCAGACAAATCCGACTCCCGCCCCCAAACGGGTGAAGATAATGCTCCAGCGGCTCCCCGCTCGCCGTCTTCGGATTCCCAAGCCACCGTTCTGGGACGAAGGCGTGCGGGTCGGCGAACACACTCTCGTCAAGCATGAGATCCAACAGCGCCATCGACACTGGCGTCCGCGGCGGGATTACCCACTCTTTGTACCGCGTCGCGTCCTCCGCCAGTCTCGGCATCCGCGTCGCAACACCAAAGCCTAGCCGCAGCCCCTCTTTTACGCAGGCGGCGAGATACGGGAGTTGCTCGAGCTTGACCCAGTCGAGCGGCTGCGTCGGGTCTGGGAGCGCCGCCTCGAGCTCGTTTCGGAGTTTATGCTGGATAGAGGCGTTATTGGTGACGTGGAAGGTGGTCACGCTGAGCACCCAGGCTGTGGTCATGATGCCGGCGCCGACGACAGTGGCCGATTCGTCGACGAGGCGGATGATGGTTTTTTCGGTCTGTGGGAGCGTGCTGGCGAGGACTTCGTACATGACGGTTGGGTGGGAGACGGGTTTGGAGGAGAGGTCTTCGCCGCGGGTTAGGCGGGTGCAGAGAGCGACGAGGTCCTGGTTCTGTTAGGGTGGTGGTTGAAAGATGGGAGTAATGGGAGTAATGGAAGTAATGACAGTAATGGCAGTAATGGGAGTAATGGGGGGACTGACCCAATGTAGTCGAACGAAAGGTTCCATAACGGGATTCAGAGCGTTCGCAATATTGACGGGAAGGGCTCGGAAGAACTGTCAAACGTCAGAAAGTGTATACGGTTTGTACAAAAGCAGTACTAACTGGCAAAAAGAACGGGAAATGCGTCTGCACGTGGCCAAACCTATTCGCAGCAAGAAACGCTTCGTGCATGCTGTCCTTAAAGCCAGGAGACTTGAGCTTATCGTAGCAGAAACCAAACGCATACTCCATGGTCACATCACCAATGAACGCCGTATAGCCGTTATGCAGCATCACAATCTTCCCAGTCGCGTTGTAGTCTGCAATTTGCTTGCACAGTAAAGCAAGCTTCTCGCGGATCACGGGTTCGTACTTCATGATTGCGCGTTTCGAGAACCTGGAGCGCTCGTGAGCCGTGCACTAAGAACTACAGTATCTGGAATCAAGAGGCCTAACATCGGGTTCAGCGCCGCCCGACGCAATCGATGCAGCTCATGAGGCACCGTTGCAAACGTATTACTCGGGATACCGAAGCGATACGCCATCCACTCCAGCTTATCCGCTTTGGGGTTCTTAGTGTAGAGCTCTTCAAAATACTCAGCGTCGGAGACGTGTAGTTCTGTCGGGTTTATGCGAACGATGGGTCCTGGGGAGAAACTAGGTCAGAAGGTAACCTCCATAATATAGTGAAACTTGACGATGTAGCCTAGATACCGTATCTTCTGTGCATCTCTTGCACCTTGAACGAGAACTGCCCTCCATTTTTGTAGACGATGTCATAATACGCTTCATACCACTTCGTCAAGGCGGCGAGTTTGGGACCCGGGAATTTGGCGATCGGGCTCAGACAGAGGCGGTAGATAGCTAGACTAGTAGCATAAATAACCCAGGCCGCGAGGAGTAGAAGGGGGAGTTGAGAGGAGATAACCATAGCTACAGATGAAAAGTAAACGAAATGAAAATGACACAGTTTTGCAAAAGTAAGTGACGAAGGATCAAAGGTACAAGAACCCCAGTATACATAGTCCTGCAAACAATCAGCTAGCAACCACGGATGTCATTATCTCTTCCTAGGAGGTCTTCATGCATGCGTCCCTCTGTGGACCTGGTCAGCAATAGAGATGCATGTGTACGACTCATCACGAGCGGCATGCATCACGACAGTCGCAAAATGAGCAGTGGCCATTGGTGAGCAGAGTAGAAGATAGCAGCTCGGCGCAGGCGCCTCCTGCAGTGCTGAGGCACAGTAAACGCACGAGGTCGGAACATGGCCAAGTGCAGAATGCGGGCTGGTAAAGAACCTTGAACGCAGGCAGGAGTTTGCAGGAACTTGACCCCACGAACATTTGATACCCTGCAGCTCGAAACACCTTGGGATAGGCGGGTCTGCACCAGGTCTCGCTCCCGGGGAGGCAGCCGAATGGCCCGCTGATATGTTCGCGGCACAGCTTGCAGACGAGCTGTTTTCCAGAAATATTCGTGGTGTCGCTAGCAATAATGCTATGGAAATGGTGGAGGACCCTTCTCCTAGGGGGGCAGTTGCTTTGCTGCGATCTGCTAACATGACCCACTTCACCTTCATAAGACGTTCCTTTCTGCATACCAAGCGAAAAAAGAATGCTGAGCAACATCGTCGTTCCTCGTCGAGCTATTATTCGTACAACCCGTGAGAGTTTGGCTTTTCAAGTCGTCAAAGAGATCCCCTTCCCACTGTTCATAACTACATCGCCTTCTCCGTCTTCGCTCTTTTGCCTTCAGCTGGCTCCCCTCCGTCAGCCTCCAGCTTTCTCTTACCTTTGCCATTCGGCTCCTCTTTCTTCGCTTCTGTGGACTTCTTTTTCCTGACCAAACCAGTGAGGTCGTTTGCACCCTTTGCGGCCTCATCAAGTCGCGCTTTCTGGGCAGCTGGATCGGCGCCGAGGAGATCACCAAGCAGTCCCTTGAAGAGGGCTGGGTCTGCGCCAGACAGGTCTGCGAGTGGGTTTGTCACTTGCTTTGTAGGGGAAGTGCGGAGGTCGTTCAACTATGTTTCATTAGCAGAATAATTCTAACCTCAAAACATATCATACGTACGCGCAGGTTCATCTCTTCTGCCATCTCTTTGACATCTGCAATAGACAGTTTGCGATCTTCCTTCTTATCTTCAGGTAGTGACGCAAGTTCGGCCTCCTCTTTCTCCAGGCGGAGCTGTAGGGATGCGATAGCTGCTTCCATTTCCACAGCAGCTTCCTCTCGCAATGCCATGTCAATCTCGGCATTCTGCGGTTTCGAATCTGCACTTCCACCAGCCTCCTGCTCGCGTTGTGCATCTCGAACAGCAGACACTGACGCGAACTCAAGCGACAAGGACAGCTTATAATGACCTTCGGCTATCATAGACGAATCCTGGGGATATAGCTGCTTCCGTAATTCGATGGCGGCGCGTGAATCTGATATTGCGTCCATGAACCGCTCGTTCTCAAGCGATATCTCAGCCTGGAGGTCATGAGTATCGGCAAGGCGTTCCTTTATGTGTCGAATCTCGGGCGTGTCTTCCGAAGTAGATGTAGTTTTGCCTTTGCGCTTAGATTTTGCGTCTGTGCCGGACGCCGCTTGTGATGTCAGCGCCTCTAACTGTCGCGAGAGCAGCACGCGTCCAACGTCCAGGATTTCGTAGGCGTTTGCGAAGTCATCGTCCTCGCCCTCTTCCTCCCCTTCGCCCTCCTCGTCCTCTTCTTCTGAATCAGTCCAGTTCTCGTCGCCCGTTAACTGGAAGAACGGCTTGTTCTTCACATCATCTGCCGGCTTGTTTGCGCCTGCTGGGTCTTCGGTGCCATTTACGGGCGCAGCACTCGAACTGGCCTCCGCTTGAGCTTTTTTGTTCTTCTTTGACTCGTCTGGCTTCTCTTCAGACGCGACTTTGCCGCCTAACACGTCACTTTTCGCGACGGCAACCTTGTAGAGGCAGCGGCCATATTCGTAGAGCAGCTCGGCGTTCTCGGGCGCCATCTCTCCATTGAGCTCGGCCTGGAGTTCAGTGGCCTGGGAGAAGATATCGGCGGCCGCAGTATAGTTCTTGAGGGAGTATTGGAGGTTTGCGGAGGTGATGAGCTCGGTGAGTTTGTCGTTCGAGGGCACAGTCGCGGGGGTGTCTGCGGAGGCCATTGTGACCTTGGAAGTCGTGAAATCGTAAGGAGTGTTGTTCGGTAGTATACGCGACGGCAATGAGGAATGGATAGAGGCTCAGCGAGCTCCGTGGGGTTGACTGTTGATGATCGCGGCTGGTTGGTGGTGACGTGAAATGGTGTGGGCAGGCTTTCTCCTGCGGCGCGTGAAAGCGCGACGACGCGAAATCCACTTTAGCCAACACAATACAACACTGCCTGCGCATATACTCGCTGTCTCTCTAGCAATCATGGCGACGACAAACAGACGTTTGGACGAGCCGTCTGCTCTTCCAGAATCTACGCCGAACCCGATTCCCTCCTCTTCACCTGCCTTTGCGACGCCCGCACATCCCATCCTCCCCCGTCGAACAGCGCCGATTCCCGCGCCGCCCGCTTTGAAGGCTGCTCCCCCGAAGCCTACAATTCTTCCTATACTGCTTCCGCCGGCGACTCTACGGCCACTTGCATTCCGGACCTTTACGAAAAAGCATAATCTCACCCTCACCTCCTCTGCGCTTCAAGCTCTTGCAACCTTTATTGGACGGCACTGTGGGTCGGGATGGCGAGAAGAAGGCCTTGCAGAGCGCGTTTTAGAAGAGGTAGCAAAGAGCTGGAAGAAGGGCGGCGGACAAGTAATCGTCGATGGTGACGGGGCCGCTCTAAAGGCGATTCTGAAAGCCATTGAAGGGTCCATGAGTGGTGGAAGGATAGTACAGAGCAGCCATTCCGCGCTGAGCAGGCAAGGAAGTTTAGTATTTGGGCCGGATGTCAATGTGGAAGATAGTGCGGCGACAAGACCACCGTTGGGACATAATGAGAGCTTTGGAATATCCCGGCTTGAAGTCGAGGACCCTCAGGAGGAAGAAGAGGCATACAAGGACGCTCGCGACTGGATACAAGTTGTAGGGGCATTTGAGCAGCCAAGATTAGTCTACAGTGTTAACAAGAAACACTTTGAGAAGTAAATACCTCCAAGGCAGATCAAGTGCTGAACACTGGCTAACTATCTACAGAAGCACCAGCACGCCATCCCTCTTCCCTCAACCCTCGCACAAGACAGACCTCTTTCGACACCATTTTCATATTGTTCACCAACGCATACTACGAAATGATACGTTTCAAGCGCCTTCTTTCTCAGCGAATAGATCCGCGTCGTTGGCCCGTACGTCGTCACTGTCGACCTCGCAAACCACCACTATAACCCCCATTGCCAATCTGCTAGGCCGTACCGGTAGTACTCACCTCCTGTTAGGTCTTCTTACAGTGTCTCCAACAGGGACGCTTGCCCTCTCAGACCTTACAGGTTCAATAGCCTTAGACCTTCAACATGCTCGTCCAATCCCAGAAGACGGTACCTACTTCGCCCCTGGCATGATTGTCCTCGTAGACGGCACCTACGAAGAAGACTACAGCAACCCAACTTCAAATTCGGCTCTGGGTAACACCGGCGGCATAGGAGGCAACATTGGCGGTAAATTCATCGGCTTTTCAGTAGGCCATCCACCCTGCGAGCGGCGTTCTACAACCCTCGGCAGTACCTCTGATCAAGATGCAAACCAAGCTTCAACCACCACTGGCCCAGCTTTCGGTTGGACAGATTTCCTTGGACTGGGCTCAGAACGCGCAACAGGAGCACGCATGTCCCGTCTCGCCAACCGTCTATTGCCCACAACATCCACCCACAATATCGCAATAGCGTCAGACCTCCACCTAGACGTCCCGAGCACGCTCTCGTCCCTCCGCACCCTGTTGAAAACTTATACGCCTCACCCGACCGATACTCATCCAAACTATCCCCTAGCCATCGTCCTCATGGGCAACTTTTCCTCTCGCGCATCGTTAGCAGGCGTCCCCGGCGCAGGGTCCATAGAGTACAAAGAGCACTTTGACGCGCTCGCAGCCGTGCTGGCAGAGTTTCCAGAGCTAATCGCTCATACCACTCTCGTCTTAGTTCCAGGCGATAACGACGCCTGGCCCTCCGCCTTCTCTGCTGGCGCCTCGGCCCCCTTGCCAAGGAAAGCCGTCCCCACTATCTTCACAAGCAGGATACGGAGGGTCGTCGCTGAGGCAAATCGCGAAATCTGGGGAACTGGCGGTGCAAAGACGGGCGAAAAGTGGAAAGAGGGGAAGCGGAAAGAAGGCGAGGTCGTGTGGACCACCAACCCAAGTCGATTGAGCTGGTTCGGCGTCAAAGGCGAGATGGTGCTCTTCAGAGACGATGTCCTAGGTAGGCTCAGCAGAACAGCCATTCGATTCGGGAATGCCAAAGAGCAAGAGGAGCAAGTTGCGTCGCCGACAGCAGAGCCTGGGGAAGATGATACGCAGCCCATGGACCTCGATCCGCCTATACTGAGGGATCAACTAGAGCCACTGGATCCGGATACGCTCACCGCTCGCGCTTTGACCCGCACGCTACTATCGCAGTCACATCTCTCGCCGTTCCCGTTATCGACGAGGCCGCTGCACTGGGACTATGCGAGCGCGCTAAGCCTGTATCCGCTCCCGAGTGCGCTTGTAGTAGCTGATAAAGAGGCTCCAGCTTTTGTGGTTAAGTATAGCGGGTGTACTGTGATGAATCCTGGTCCGATTAGCGAGGAAGTTGGCAGAGGGAGAGGACACGGGAAGGCTAGGTGGGTGGAGTTTGATGTTGGGAGCGGGAGAGGGTTAGCCAGGAATGAGGGATAGATGAGTACGTTGCCGGCTATCTAGGACTCTCCGCAGGAGTCAGGAGTCTGGGCTTATTCGGTGTGAAAGAGGACCTGTACTAGGTGGCGCATATGACGGCATTTAGGAATGATATGGCGATGATGAGAGGGGTTCAATGTGAGTGTAATGATGTGTTGGACTGAGACTTCAACAGATATCTTCCGCAGGATGAACCAGGTATCATGAAGGTAATAATAGCTAGGCCTATTATCTATAAGCGTCCCGTAGGCTATAGAGGGCACCGCGCCTTATCTTTCCTACAGGGGTGATTTGTACAGAGGATAATGCAGCCAATTATAGATTTGGATGAAGATTTATGATGTCTCTATAAAAATCGCTAGCGAGCACGTGACAAAGGCGCCTTTCTAGGGCCTGCCAAGAGGCTTTCCGATCAGAACTTCTCGATATCACCTCCCGAAACACCACACCATCATAGCCAAGTGCTAAGACGTGAAGATTGAGGCAAGAGCTCCATCCGGAGTGCGGCCCTTGTCGCTTTTTGGTCTCCATCTTGCTCTCGTCGACTTCTTTACTCGATTTACTGCATGAGTCCATGTCTTATTCGACTTCGAATCTGACAAGTAATGACCCAACCCCAACCGAAAACATGAACTTACCACCCAGCGCGGAAGGTGAGGGTGAACAATCGCTGCACACAATTTGGGTCTTTAGTTTCCAGATGCTTATATCGCGGGAGCCTGTGTTGCCTAACAAGCTCCCGCGGAGCGTATAGGTGCAAATATTCTCTTGAAATACTATCCTGAACATCACCCCGATCGCTGATCGAATACTTCTAGATGCGTTATGTAAGTTTTCTAGGCAGGACATCGCTATCATATCATCACTTTAAGGTTACATTACTAGACGAACACCACGTGGAGTAGAGGTATGGTGCCGATCATGAAGCACGTCAGATCTGAGCAAATGTCGCGAGGCCGGTTCGGCCCTCATCCTGCCACCAACTACCAACCATACCTCGCTGCTAGAGCTCCGGGTCGTCCATCATGGCCCTTTCGGGGTTGTCTTGTATGGGGATTCTGTGGGAGATCCGGCTCCCCGGCACGTTAATGCACGCTGCCCGCTCACATTACCTTTGCACGTTGGTGCTATCAAAATTAGGGCATCTCCGCACTGCCCATCCACCAAACCGCCGTCCCGTCCGTCGGAAATACTACTACCACAAGACGGTCGGCCGGTGTGATGATGGAGCCAAGACGAGAAAAAGGCCTTACCGATCGGCAAACGTCTTGAATAGGATGCGAGCTCCCTTTGCTGTGGTGAGCAGAGAGATAGCGTGGCCATGGGCTTGAGGGTATATTACGCTGGTCCCTGACTATCTTCTTGCTCTCGTCTTGCTGCAGTGTAAAGCTTTTAGGCTTCCTTAGTTACTAATCATGGCCACGTCTATCGAAAAGGACCTGGAGATCAACCATGTCTCTCCACCACCATCCACAGCTGGCTCGTCAGACCTTGACGATGAATACGACACATTCAGGAAGGCCCAAGGCGTTGAAATAGACCCCGCTGAAGCGAAAAAAGTGCTCCGGAAAATAGACTTGCGCATTGTCCCTGTTCTTTTCATCACTTACCTTTTGCAATACCTCGATAAGAACGGAATCAACTATGCCAGTGTGTATGGCTTGCAGAAAGGGACACACTTAACAGGCAATGACTACTCATGGCTCGGTTCGTATCTTGGGCTCAATCTATGGAAGAAATACTCAGATATTCACAGGTTCTATATTCTATTTCGGGTATCTCTTCGCTCAGTACCCTGCAGGATACGCCATGCAACGTCTGCCCATCGCCAAGTTTCTTGGATTTGCAACACTGGGTATGTAAAATCCCAGAGAAGTTAATAAATGGCCTTTGCTCACACGCAGCAGGATGGGGTATCATCCTCATAACGACTCCCGCCTGCGTAAACTTTGCAGGAATTGCCGCGAACCGCTTTCTTCTTGGCGCCGTGGAGGCTACGGTCAATCCGGGATTCGTTCTAATCATGAGCATGTGGTATACGTCTGCTGAGCAGCCTCTGAGACTCGAAATCTACTACTGCACCAATGGTATTGCGACCATGTTTGGAGGGTACGCAGCATTCAACCCGCAATAGCGTCTCAAGTCACGTGCTAATCCCATATCCTTCTCATGTAGACTCATCGGATACGCTGTAGGTCATATCAGGACGGGAGTTGCTCGTTGGATGTATGTGTTCATCATCTTTGGCGCGCTCAGCATCGCGTGGGGCATCGTGTCGCTGCTCGTTCTACCTGACTTGCCATCCACCGCCAAATTTCTGACCGAACATGAGAGGGTAATCGCCGTCGATCGCGTGGCTGCCAATAGGCAGGGCGTGAAGAACCGCCACTTCAAGAAGTACCAAGCCTGGCAGACTGTGAAGGATCCAAAGACGTGGATCCTTTTCGTTATGGCAACCGGCGCGCAGATTCCAAACTCGGCCTTGACAAGCGTAAGTGAGGGCTTATGACACATTAATCACCCAAGCTAACAGAGACCTTTCCAGTTTGGTTCTATAGTAGTAGGTTCATTCGGATTCGACACTCTTGGAACCCAATACATGCAAATCCCAGGAGGCGCTGTGCAGTTCCTTTCCCTCCTCGCTGGAGGCATAATCTGCACCAAATATCCCAAAAACAGCCGCTGCATTACCATGATCTTCGCAAACACAATGTGTATCCTCGGCGCTGGACTTCTGGTCGGCCTACCTAACCACAACAAATGGGGGAGGCTTGTTGCGCTGTGGCTCTGTTACTTCCAGGGTCTGGGCTTCAGTATGAGCTTGACGATGGTGTCGTCAAATGTCGCAGGATACACGAAGAAACAGCTGACCGGCGCTGCGCTGTTCACAGGCTACTGCGTGGGCAACATCATCGGGCCACAGACGTTCAAGAGCAGCGAGAAGCCAGGGTACCATTCGGCATACATTGCTATGCTAGTTGGGTACTGTATCAAGCTTGCGATGGTAGTCGTGCTGTACATCTACATGTATTCGGTCAATAAGAAGCGGGATAGAGAGGGTGCGCATGGGATTGCGTTGACAGAAGAGCAGGAGAAGGAGGCGATTGAGCTTGGGATGCATGATGTTACGGAAATTGATAATAAGGGCTTTAGGTATATCTTGTAGACTGATAAGACTAATAAATCATACCGATTATCACTTGGCATGGATGAAAAGTTGATTAATGCCCTCGGCTATGTACTATCCAATTCACGATATTGAAGGATGCCAGACCGCGAAAGAGGTCCCCGACCATCACGAAAACACTTTTATGCGAGAGCACAATCCGGATATCAAACTTCTTCTAGATCTATTCAAGAGGAGATCGTGAAGGATGAGCTTAGCTGCATGCTGTTAGAGGGGTCGATAATTATCGGTGTGGCATCCCGCGGTCCCGTCTGAGGGGGAGTGGGATAGCGCCCACTGGCATTCGAGGAATAACGTGGAGGTGAGGGGAGCGAGGTCTAGGAAGGAGGCTGGGTAGTTTGAGAGTGATGATGATGGGTCGAGGGACATTGGACGGTGGCTGGGGTTTCCGCTCGTATGAGGTGCCCCTACGTACTCAAAATGAGCCAAACAGAATGTGAAGTTCCGTGCACTTCAAACTAAACGTATTGAAAATACTGTTAGAGAGTGCATCGCTTAGGTCCAGACTATTTCGAAGTATGACTAGGATTGATTGATTGAAGCTCATATAGCCTCCTCGAATTGCCGTACCAAGAGGCCCTTGTTTTGCAGGAAGTCTTTCACCTGCTTGACGGTGTATTCTTGACGGTGAAACTGCAAAGCTATTAGCACTCATGTCACATCTCGCAGACACGAACCTGCACTTACCATGCCAGCACCTAGAGCTGCATCCGTCGACGTTTTCTCAAAGACCTCCTCAAAATGTCCCGGATTGCCGGCTCCACTACTCGCAATCACCGGGATGCTAATGGCCTCCTTAACGTCGTTAATGAGCTCCAAATCAAACCCGCTATTTGTGCCGTCTTTATCAATGCAGTTAAGAAGGATTTCTCCTGCGCCCATGGCTTCAACCGCAGTGACGAGCTGCCGCACGTCGAAATCGCGCCCTTCTCTTCCCCCTTTGATGGTGCACTGATACCAGCAGTACTCCTCACCGTTGGGACCTGGTGTAGAAGTCTTGATGGTGTGATGAGGTGTCACCGACGGTGAGGAGACGTATACTCGTCTTGGGTCAACGCTGATGACGACGGCCTGGTTCCCGTACGCGGAAGAGATGCTTTCGATGGCGGTTTTACCCGTCAGTTTCTTGCCTGCCGCGTAGTAGGCTTCCGCTGCAGTCACAGCATCAGATCCAATACTCACTTTGTCCGCACCCGACTTGAAGTACATGGTCGCGATATCGAGGGCCGATATAGCAGTGCCATCCGTGTCTACAGTATCCCGAATACCACCACCAATCGTCAGGGGCACAAAGACGGTCTCCGAAGTTCTCCTCAAGATCTCCAGCATTGGGGTATCTGCAACGGGGCAATTCCTGAAGGACGTTATGTTGAGGAAAGTGACTTCATCTGCTCCCTGCTCGTAGTATTTCCGTGCCATGTCGACCGGTTTGCCTAGATTTCGCACCGCGCCACCGGAAGAGATGCCATCCTTCTCTCGCACGTCATATTGGTCGCCCTTTGTGACAACCAGGTCGCCCTGGTCATTCGTCCGGACGTCGAGGCATGCGATAACTCTTCGTGTCAGACCCTCCTTCGTCGACGCCGCCGAAGGGACTTCTGGCAGTTTTTCCCACTTCTTCCCATCCAAGAACGCCTTTATCACCCTCAATCCAGCCGCACCACTCTTTTCAGGATGGAACTGTGTCGCGAACACATTGTCCCTCGCAACCGCACCAACAAACTCTTCCTCTCCATACCGTGCCGTCGCAACCGACCAACCCGCCTTCTCAAGCTCCCCTTCCCGGTATGGCGCAGCATACGAATGGACGTAATAGTACTTGCTGCTCGGCCTCAGCCCATACAGGCTCTCCTCCGCCACCTTTCCCTTCCCCGACGTATTCGCTGAATTCCACCCAATCTGCGGCACGCTCTTATCCCCATCCTGAAACTTCTTCAACTGCTCCGGTATCAGTCCTAGCCCCGGCACCCTTGGGTCCTCCTCTGAGCCCTCAAACAATGCCTGCAGCCCTACACAGATGCCCATGAACGGCTTCCCCGCCTTGATGTACTTTTGTATCGGTTCGACATAGCCAGCGCTTGCGAGCTGCGTCATGCAATGGCCAAAATGACCGACGCCGGGGATGACGAGTCTCTGGAGGCCTATGTATCAGCGCAAGGCCGGAATGAGCGAATTGGTCTGCAATTGGGGCGAAGGAGCGCGTGAGTGTACCTCAGCTTTGGAAATGTCGGCGGGAGAGGTGACCCATTCCACTGTGTAGCCGATCTTTTCAATGGCGTTCACGAGGGAGCGGATGTTTCCTGCGACGTAGTCAAGGAGGTGGACGGTCGGCATTTTGGGGGGAGGTAATTGTTGTCGGGATGAAAGTTTTGAAGGTTGAGGGTTGAGTCAACGGCATAACTTTTTGTACCACCCCTCCAAGCCACCGCCTCCGATTGCGGAGTATACATATATTCAGCCAATTAACATGATGTATTCAAATCACATTCATTTCGACTTCAAAAGGAGACTTAATGTGAAATATGTTGCTAATCTCAGGTTCTAAATTGTGATGAGTTGCAGTCAGGTTGATTCTATTTTTCTAGATCATAACTCGAACTCTGTAGGTAGCCTTCGCCGAGACCGCTAATACTCCAAACAACCCCAAGCTACAAAAATGCAATTGTCGGGACCATATCGTCCCTCTCCGTGTAGGGCAGTCACCGGTAAAACTCCGTAGTCGAAAGCCCATCGCTCATTTCTGCGACTCGAAGAATCGATCAAGTTTTCCGGTCAACTCACCCATCGGAGTAGTCAGTAACAGACTCCCTCGAATCCATCCCGGCAGCTTCGACTGTATGCGCTTCTCTCCGTACCGCCGGTCCAACATCAGAATTACAGCATAGTCACCGAGATGCCTGATTGCTCGTCCTACGCACTGATTGACAGCCCTCATGCAGATATTCTCGTAGAACTCCCGCACTGCGACATCTCCATTCTGTCCCCAGCTTGCTGCTTTGCTCTTGATGTAAGCCATCTTGGCCTTCCATTCGGCGGTATGAGGATTAGGGAACGGTAGGCCGACTACGACGACGCCACGGCCGAGCGCATCGCTGAAGTTGATGCCTTCGGAAAGACTTCCACCGATGACGGAGAGAAGAAGCGCGCCGCGACCGTTACCAGCTGCGACGGCGTTACTGTAGGCAGATAGAACAGAATCAACAGTTGCATTTTGGACCACCGTAGGCTTTGAAGCTGAGTGAGTCTGGCTTCGCTGTTCCATAAATACAGGCTTCGTAGCGTCTAGCGCATTCCAGATAAAGGACGATTCGGAGCCTGGTTTCGAAGGTTGTTTCAGACGTTTCCACGCCGCAACACATTTATCGAGGTAAGCGTAGCTAGGGAAGAAGACAACGACGCCATCGGGTATATGTTGGATGAAGGAAAGAAGGGAGAGGCCCAAGTTGAGTAGCTAGGTAGGTATTCCCGTTAGCTTACTCAGGGAATCGTTTTCTGGAGAACATACCGTCTTGTCCGACTCGCGTTTCCCAAAAGTGAAGTCGAATGGTGAATTTTCCGGGCCATAAATAATAGGACATGCTAGAAGCTGAGACGGAGGAATGACATGGCCGCAAGAAAGAGTCATGACCCTCGACGGGTCTACGTAAGAAAAGAGTTGCCTCGAGTAATCTTCCATCTAGCAACCAGTTAGGATGGAGTCTATTACTACCATTGAGAACCTAGGTACGTACCGGAGACATTGTGCCGCCTGCAAGAATGACAGCTCTGGCTTCATCCACGATCTCCTTGAAGTGCATTGTCGGATCAAGAAGCATGTACTTGAGACTAACCGAGTCGGGTGAAGCCTCCTTCGAAAAGAAAAACTGACCCTCTTTGGAGGGGTTCGTCAAAACCAGAAAAAAGTTCTGGAGGTGTGTCAGAGTAGGAACTGCATCCTTTGTTCCTGGGAGATGATTGGTGGAGGGCTGTGCTTGTTTGTCTCCGGCTGGCTCTTGATGCGTCTCCACATGCGCAATGTAACCATCAACCTTCCGGGCTAGTTTGCTCTCTTGTAGATAGTGTGTGAGCTTGAAGAGATCAATCTGATCAACGCCCTTCCCCGCCATCAAGTCTCCGATATTGGCTATTCCATCAAGCTCTGCATTGGCGTTCTTTCCGAGGAGATAGTGGATCAAAGAGTCTAGTAATCGGACTGTCTGCGTGACATAGACCCGGTTTTTTCCTCTCAATTTATTTTGGAATTTGCGTAGGTAGACCGTAAGCTGTTCTCTCGACCGTCGGAGTTGCGCAAGCGAAACCGTGATGGAGTTGATTGCGGCAACAGCATCCATCAGATTATGCGCTTCGTCTATGATGATCACGTGTCCGGCCAAAGAGATATCCAGAGCTTCGCGAGCCGACTTTTGTAAGAGAAGTGGATATGGCAAAGTTACAATCTGTGGGTATTTAGCGTTTCAATTTAGCGGGTGTGCTGGGAACGTTTTACTTCACATGGCTTTATGGCGGGTCTCGAAGCATAGTATGGGCAAATACCTAGCTTCTTGCCTAGAACTCCAAGATCCTCAATATCTCGTATCTTCGCTAGAGCATGGTCTCGAAAGTCGTTGACGACTGCCTCTGTTTCTTTGGTTGGGAGAAAAGAGCACTTGCGTTCAGCCGACACCCCCGACTTTTGTAGATCTAGACATCGCTCGTTGATAGCTATGGCACTGCCGAGGTTTTTCACCTTCGGGTTGATGCAGAGGTTCTTCCGAGAGCCCAGTGTAAGATGCTTGAACTCCTCCGACAATATTGATGGATTATCGCCGCTATGATTGGTTACAAGTCCATCGTCTGGGTCTATAGCTGGGGGCATCTTGACGCGCTTTAGCTCACTTGAAAACTGAGTAAGCTGTGAATGTGTCCTGGAACAATAGAAGATCTTGAGCTCGTCAGGAAAGTCGTCCGTTGCATTATCCTGGTCACGAAGGGAAGGATTTATCTGCTCCAGGAGAGCACGTGTCTCTGCCGATAGTCCAGTATAGTGAGAGTCATCGTGGAACTTTGTGTTCGATTCCTCTTCACTTTCATAGTCGTCGAGAAGAAACTGCGCTTCGCCGGCATCTTCGTCAGTGGCGGTGGCTGCTACTTTCTAGATACATTAGGACCGCAGATACGTAGAGACTGGTGAACGTACTTGTCGCTTAGCGTGCGGCTCCCCTTTCTTGTACTTCTCCTTGGTCTTCTTCTCTCTAGCACGTATCTTTTCGAGCCGGCTTTCAAAGTCCGCCCGGTGGCGGAGTGCGGCTTGCTTCTTCTCCCGCCGAGCATACTCATTCATCCACTCAGGCTCATCATCATCTAAACCGTGTCAATTGTCAGTATTCCACCGCTGTATCATTGAAGAGATTAGGAGGACCTACCTTCGATCTCGTTCAAGCCTTCTTGAAACGTTTTCCGTTTGTGATCTCGAAGCCACGTCAAGGAACCGCAAATAAGGCTCAAGGATTTACCCTAATGAGGACTTAGCACTAGGCAAGAAAGGAGGGGTCTGGCAGGTGGGTAAAGAGGAAGGTTTTGTCGGTTTGTAGGCATAGTGCTGATTGACGTAGTGAGTCGGACGAGCAATGAACAAACGAAAAGACAGTGATAGCTAGAGCTGAATATAGCTTACCGTCCCTAAGTCAAACTTTAGTAATTGAACATTCTGTGATATCTCTTACCGACCTACGTACCAGTAGGCGACTCAAATATACCGACTTTGCCACTCTCTATACAATCATACAGTGCGTTCATGAACTCATTCTGGATCTCATACGGCTGGTACGGGTGATGGAAGTCCCGTTGAGCCATCTTTCGCTGATCGAGTGTTCGCAGTGTTGATATCCATGGTGCCCCGTAGAAAGAAAGTCGGAGAGCGCGCGGGCACGCGTCGATTGTCGCGCTAGTCCCAAATGGAATTAGCGCAACTAGGTAGGTATATTTACAGCGTCAACTTCCCTCCACTCCCTCATCTACTGGCTGTCACGTCTAGACCAGCAGAGCTTCGTTGGTTGCTGTGCATACCAGTCTGTCGCGAAGTACTTGTACTGCGTCTGCGTCTCCTCCTAATCAGACACAATTAACCTCCAGAGAGTCGTTAACGCAGCAAAGCACTAATGGTAGACGAAGGCAGCATACCACATGATTCGATGGATTCCGACGATTCCGAACAACGTAAGCTATCGTACAAGAAGTACCAACAGGGGTGTAGAGAACGGCAGAAGAGGAATGCTGCACAGGATCCGAAGTATCGAGAAGCCCTCACTATGCAACGGAAGTCATACCAGCTGAGGTACAAGGAAGAAAAAAAAGAGAACGCCGAATACGACCGCAAATTCCGAGCCAACGTCACATCGCTTCTAAAGAGAATTGTTCAGAAAGGCCAAAAAGATCGCGATTGGGCGAATTGGCGGACGCTATCCGATGAGACGATCCATGACGAGCCAGAATGTCAATACACATACGCCGATGAGGTTTCGGAACAGCTCGCTGTCCACGACGGCTTTGGTTGTGTAGAGGACGCCATGGCTGCAGCCGCCGACTGGATGATCGAGTACTTCGATTCGCCGCTACCAGGATGCCTTCCTGGGATCTCCGTCAAACTCTACCCCAAGAGTCGCCCAAAAGGCTCGCAGTGCCTTGAACTCGATCTTCCTTGGTTTGCCGAGATAATGGGCAGGCATCCACTAAATGTCGACGATGCCACCAAGCACGCAGAGCGATTAACTAATGTCGCGTTGGGAAAGGATGACTCCGCTCGCAAAGTACTTCGAGAAGAAGCCGTGGAACTGATCGAGGCAGCTCCCAACATGCTGTACTGCAAAGCTACCTTCCTCTATGTTAGTCTTTTCTGCAATCCACCAAAGCTCAAGGACATAGCCACCACCTTAGGCGGCGATATCTTAACCAGGCCACTCTATAGCCGGAAGAGCACGGCATTGCGTGAGCTCATCAGAGAGTTCGGCGGAGACTATGACAGCGATCTCGCGATGCTAAACAACATGATACGGCTATTTGCGGGGCAAGTATTGCCGGAAAGGTCGACAGCAGGGTTCGTATTCCCCTATTCTTGCCAGACGTTTTGCTGATAACTTCTAGAAGTAGGGGGAAACAGGGGAGCACTTCCGAAGATCCTTCAATCCCAAGGACTGGCTTAAGGGTCACTAGGCAAGGTGCGATGAAGACTGCGAATCTGCTGCCATGTTCCGCCAGCTAACTCCCCCTTGATAGGATCGTCGAACACACAAAACGCGGCCTTTTCGCACGCAAACTCGGCAGACGATCTAGACGACGCCACCGATGAAGAAGACTGGGCTGCTATCGGCCCTAAAGCTCTAATGCAAGGCGTCGATGCTGGCTCTTCGACAAAGCGTTGATCCGGTTGAAGGTGGCAACAAGCAGGTTGATCTGGTGCACTGGTGTCGGCTCAATGAGCTAATTCAAGGGTCCTTTCAAAGAGAGTAGTAGAATCTAAAACACAATTCCAATGATAATTTCAAATCATGTAGATCTCTCTTTTCCCTTGACTACTCTTTGCCACTGCCTGCAATCCTCCAATTCATCAATCAGAATTGTGAGAGGACGGAACAATCTTCAAGGCGTGAATTAGGCGTAGCAGATAGGTAAGTATCTCCGACGTTAGAGCCATTATCTGGAGCCCTCCCATGTATCGTCAGAAAGTCAGGACTGGATGTGATAATCTCCGCGTCATGAACTAGACGTCGCAAGAAGCTAGGCACTCAGAATGCCATCGCTACCGTCTGAGGTCCCCCAGCTCATTATCAAAAGTAGGGAGTCGATACAACCGTCAAGAATTGCACGTTGCGTATCAACAAGTACTCAGGACTCTATTATTACCGCCTGAAGTCCCGCAGCTCATTATTGGAAATCAGGACTCGATGTTACAATGTCCACGTTGCGAATTGCACGTCTAGAGGCAACAAGCGTTTGACACACGGACGCTGCTGTCCGAAGCGCTCTAACTTTTCATCCAGAATCGGGATGCGATGTCACAGAGTTCACGGCCTGAATTGGACGCCGCAAAACACCAAGCATCTTGGACACCGGAACCATCGCTTGGGGTCCTCCGGCTCATCATCAGGAACCAGGGCTCGATGTCAAGATCTGCACATCGCAAATCGCAAATCGTTAGCTAGCAAGTACTCGGGCCCCCCTGCGGAACTTTACATCCTATTCGGGATATTACAATTACGTAGGGGCACCTCATGCACTGCTATACAAGCGGAAAACCACCGGACCTACAGTACGTCCAATTTCAAGTGTATAGAATTTTACATCCTGTTTATACTATTTTAAGCACGTAGTGGCACCTCATGCACTTTTATACAAGCGAAGAACCACCGTATTTTCAGTACGTCCAATCTGAAGTGTACGGAACTTTACATCCCGTTCAGCTTATTTTGAGAGTACGTAGGGGCACCTCATGCACTGCCATATGAGCGGAAAACCACCGTATCTTTAGTAGATCCAATTTGAAGTGTCCGAAAACTTTACAACCTGTTCGGCTCATTTTGGTACATAGGGGCACCTCATGCAGTGGTGACCAAGTAGCAAATAACACGGCGAAACACTGAAAATTGAAAGACTAAGCATTGAACATACGAACTCATCTAATTTAGAGCTTCAAGATCTTTACATCCTGTTCGGCCTACTTTTGAGTATATAGAGGCACCTCACGCACTACTATACGGGCAGAAGACTGCTGTATTTTCAGCACATCTAATTTGAAGTATACCAAACTTGACATCCTGTTCGGCTTGTTTTGAGTACGTAAGGGCACCTCATGCACTTTCGTACAGGTGGAATACCACCATGTTTCCAGTACTTCCAATTTGAAGTGTACCGAACTTGACATCCTGTTCGGCTCATTTTTCAGTGTGTAGGGGCACCTCATGCAGTCGTGAGCGAGTCGCAAATCACAAGACAAGACGCTGCAAATTTAACTGTGCAGTGTGCTAATAGGAAGCGGGGTCAGCGGATTTCCTATCTGCGTACACCGTGTTGACGCCGTCTGAGGTGTCCTAGCAAGGCTAACGTGAACGTACAAACTGTCTCATTCAACCTTTCCAAAACGTGTTGAGGCAAGCCATACAGCGGTAAACCACTGTGAAAGAGAGTACATCACGGCAAAGCACGAGCTTGTTAGGGCTAGAAAGAGGTTCTGTTGACCAGTACTACGTAGGGTAAAGGGGGAGAGCTATAGGTAATTCAAACAAGAGCTAACACTTCATGCCTCGTAGGCCTCTTGATCTTGCACACCGGCTCCACCCAGTTCCGCCGCAAGAGTGATAAGAAGCAGAACAGCGAACCTTGCCAACTCAATGAGGTATCCCAGAACGATGACACGGATGACCTTGTCGACCTCAACGACCATATAGCTGGACCCATCCAAGCCGTGCACAGTAGCGAGTGGAATGAACCACACAAAGGTCAGAACAAACCAGACCACCATCAAGCAGCTAATAACGGCGAGGACAACAAGGTGGTATATTTGCGCGGTTCCTTTCGGGCGCTGCGCGATGAGGCCGTAGAAAGAAAGTCCAATAGTCAGGCAGACGGCGAATCCGTAGAGGGCGTAGGTGGCTCGGAAGAGGTCGATACTGGTTGTAAACCAGCGGCTGATAACCCACGCTAACATGAGTGCCCAAACAATGACAAAAGTGACCCCTTGTACAATAATGGCCAGGATAGGGAGCCGGCCCAGGTGGTGAGGAAGTAGCAGCAGGGCGGCGAGGAGCAATGCGTCTCCAATAACAGCTAGGACGCTTTCGGCGATCAGTAGCGCGGGTAAGAGGTTGTTGGAGCATGCTACATGCACCTCAGTGGCTAACGCCAAGATGTTGGAACTGCAGCGTCGTTAGTCGTCAACTGTGTACTTCTTTTCCGCTGTCTGAGGTGCCCCAGCGGGCTCAGCCGACTTACATGCAGTAGAACACCATTGCCAGTGTTGCAACAGTAACAAGCAGAACGGAAATCATGGCTTTCTTCCTAAAGGTCCTAATGGCAACGATGATGGCCGCCGCAATCGCAATCAAATAGGCGATAATGAAGAGGGTGTGGCAGGCGGCAATTGCCCGGCCGAGTGGACCAAACACGCAATATAATCCCATGGTGGATAGCGATGAGGTAGGAGTCGATTTCTTGGTGGAAGAGCGTCGTGGGGGTGAGAATCGAATGGATGTTTGACTGAAGAGTGAGAGTTGAGTGGATGTTTGAGTGAAGTGGATGTTTGGAGGAAGAGGAGAAGAAGGCCGGGCAGGCAGACTTTTATATTCTTGCAGGTGCCCTTTCTCACCTTGAAACGCGCAGTCACGCGGGCTCGTCTTGAGGCAGGTGGCCACCTCTGACAGCGTAACAGCGGTGTACGCAGATTGGAAGTTGCCCCCGGTTTCTATCAGTACGTTGGAGCCCCACAGACAGTGGCAAGGCACTGTACATCTCCTGCACTGCTTGATTGCATTGTCTTGTTTGTAAATTGCACTCGTCCACGACTGCATTGGGCGCCCCTATGTACTCGAAATGGGCTGAACAGGATGTAAAGTTCCGTACACCTCGAATTGGACGTGCTACAAACCCGGTGGGTTTGCACCCGTATGAGGTCTCCCAGCATATTCGAACCAATCGGAACGAGATGTGAAGATCTTGGAGCTCTAGATCAAACGTATTTTGTAGACAAGTTGAATATCCACGAGCACACCTTTTCATCACTGCTTGTGGTGCCCCAGCTCATTGTCAGGAATTCAAATTCAATCCAAGTTGAGCGTTTTGGACAGCTGGTAAACTCGCTGGGCCACCTCAGACCGTAGTGAAAAGGTGTACGCAGATGGAAAGGACGGTAGGCATGGTTGGAAGAATGGACGAAGTCTGCGCAGCCCGAAGTTCCCGGTCCCCGTATTCTGCACTAGCTTGACATCGCTTGGGGCCCCCTGGCACGTTATTAAGAATTGGAAAACAGCAGGTCTTACAAGTCTAATAGCTCTTCGGGCCACCTCGGACGGGATTAAAAGAGACTGCCACTTTACATACCTACCCTCCGCATATCCGCCGCGTGTCACAAAAATCCGAGTAACGCAGTCAGATCTGGAAATCGTTGCAATTAAAGGGGAGATGAAGCGTCTAGACGATGCGCTGACGAGCTCCTTAACGCGTCGGGCTGTTTAGTTGCAGAAAATCACAGATGTAACCGCGTGGAAGAGATTTTGTTAGATGCCTACTATCCGCCCCACGGACTCTAGGGCGAACGCCCTAGATCCCCGGTGGCCATCTCTAGTTAGATCACGTGGTTGGATATCACGAAGCCTCATAATTCGACAAGTCTCACTCCACTGAGTCTAGCGCGCGTTCCCATCAGCATCTTAACGCTACGTTCTCAGTATCAACAACTCATCGCGCTTCTTCAGCGATGTCACTAATCTCACCCGCAAAGCATACTCCATACAAATCCCATAGTCATCCAATTCATTTCTATCCAAGTTTCAAGTTTTCCTACTCCATTTCATGATCATACTCATACACCAAAAGCTCCAAAACCCCCAGTCCAGATCCTGTGCCCCGTTTTGATAACCCCTCTATACACCTTTCTCCAATAAGAATGAGCGAGCGACGAAGAAGAAAAAGACAGGCGTAGCCAGTCCTGCTGCAAAAGTGGGTATTTACAAAATAGAAGGAGAAGAAGGAAGCAAGGCCAGCACACACTGTCAAAGCGAATGTAATCGGTTCCTCCACGCACACGCACCAACGAAACACCTGATCCCGAAAGTGAAGATACCTGCGCGATGCGAGAAGGATATCGAGAGCATCTACGACGCAGCCTCAATCAGCCTCCCCACCAACCTCCTCGCATGATGCGCATGGACCGCCGCAAGACGCTGACTCCGCTTCTTCACAGCATTCGAGCACGCGCCGCCCGCGCACGTCTGGTACAGGCTTATCGCAGCAGCACCACCGCAGATTTCGCCCGCGTTGCCGTTGCACTTCATGAGGCAGTTCCCCGACACGCCCGTCTGGGGCGCGCGGTCAGCCGCAATGCTGTTCCCGCAATAGCACTCGCCCGAATACTCGAGGCCCGCGTACTTCGTACCCTTGCCCTTGCAGAAATCGACGCATGTCTCGACGGTCATCTTAGGCCCGGAGGTCTGGGGCCCGTTGAGCGTGCGGCTGCCGGCGTTGTCGGTGCCGCAGCCGATGTACTTCCAGCCCTTGGACTTGGTGAGATCCGGGACGCCGAGGGAGGCGTCGGAGACCTTTGCGATTTTAGCGGCAGGGCAGTTCTCGACTTTGGTGGCGTAGGCGGGCCCCGAGGTGAGGGGGTTGCAGCCGGGCAGCTTCTCGAGGATACCTGAGACGGGCTCGGCGATCATGTTGGGGAGCTTGCAGGATTGCGTCTCGCCCTGGGTGCGCTTGGTGAAGACCTTGTCCTCGCAGTCGGTGACGCCGTCGACGCACGTGTCGATGCCCTTCTGCAGGGTGGGGATGTCCCAGCCGTTGACGAAGTCGCCGTGGAAGCCGTAACCCGTCTCGTCGCCGTTGGAGAAGACAAAGGGCTGCGTGTCCGAGTACCAGTCGTTGGCGAAGGCGTTCGTGTTGTACGTGACTTCGTAAAACAGCGTCATCATGTGCACGGGGTGGGTACTGGGGCAGCGTCCGCCGTCGTAGTTGCTGTTGGGGGACTTGGTCGGGTAGGACATATGGGACTTGTGGTCGGCCGAGTCGAGGTTCTTGCCGTCCCAGCAGGAGGGCATGACGATCTGCGTGCGGATGCTGTCGCACTTGCGCTTGGGCAGGGCCTGGTCGACGAAGGGCCCGCCCGCGACGTTGCATTGGTGCTGCACGGCCATGTCTGCGAAGTCGGTCGATGAGGCGCGGCGAAGGGTGTCGCCGGCGAGCATGCGGAATCCCTTCGGGAAGGGGTGAAGCTTGTCGTTGTCAGGACCTTTGCGGTTTCTGAATAGTGTTAGCTAACTTCCCTACTTGATGAGGGGTAGGGTGCACTCACAGATAGTAGATAGCCATCCCCCCCATGTCCCCGTACTGGTTGTCACCATTGATGGGTACAGGGATGAAGCTACCATTCTTGGCATGGTAGTACATCTTGGGGGTCCAGTAGTTGCTCAGGTCCTCCTTAATGTAGCAGGTTGAGCAGGTGGAGGCGCGGGCCTTGTCGTAGTCCATGCTGAAGTTGAAACCATTGCCACCAACGATAGCATGAACGTGTCCAGCAACAACGCCCGGGTTCACAATGGGGTCGGCACGCTCATCAAAGAGGCGCGAGAAGCATTGCACAACGAAGGTGCTGCTAGCGGGGGTGAGGAGTGTAGAGATGAGGGGGAGAAGGATATGAGACTTGAGAAGCATGATGATGATATGGGGGTGAGAGTCTAAAAGTGGGAATCGTGGTGTTTTTCAATTGGTATCGTGGAGTCGTTGGCAGACGTATGTTGCACAGCAAGCTGTTGATGTTTTGATATTGTTGCAATGAGCGTGGTTACTGGCAGAGAGTGACGGCGCAAAGATGGTTCAGAAGGAATGGCACAGGTATCAAACCTGGAATGAAAGCAAAAGAAATAGAGACAGTGAAGCAGTCGACTGGGACGCTGGTGGGAGTGGTGAAGGGGAGAGTGGCCAGGGGAGCATCCTCATTCTTGTACTCACCGGGGGCATGATCTGTGCCTCGCTCATGCAGCCCAGCAGCCTTCACTCTGGCCAGCCCTCGCAGACCCCTTCCATTTCCCCTCGCAGACTCGCAGCAGGACGGCACTCAGTTGGCTCCCCCTGCGGCATGCCGACGGTGGCCCGACAGCTTCTCGGCGAGCAGCGCCCAGGGGAGGCGGGTTCCTGCAGAAGGGCAGAAATATGCTTCACCCGCAGCGAAACAGAAACGCCGGAGGCTGCGGCAGCCAGTCAGCACTCAGGCAGAACCAGAAATATCGCACCTCGGCGCCCCACCCCAGCGATGCGCGCGGGGGCATGCACGCCGTTGGTGTTGCCGTGGCGGCCCTGGTGGGAGTTTCGAAACGTGCGTGGCGTTGAGGCAGCTTTTTCCACTCTGCTTTGGCGAGCGCTTTCCATGCGCGCGGTCTCATTCCATTAACCCCCCCCCCCCAAGACACCATCCCTCAGCCATCGCCAGCGTGCACGCCGGGTCCTCGCCTGTCCGCGCCTCTCAGATACGCCGATACGCAGATAAGGGCGCGCAGGGCTGACTCTCACTGGGCCTGTTTTGGATTCTCTGCCCTCGCTCTGCCCTGCGCGCTGCTGTTATATCTCGAAGCTGAGTCGCACTGCAGCCAGCCTGCACAACAGGACGCCGTTCATATCGGGACCTGCAGCGAGAGTCAGCGCCTCGCCGCCCCGCCAGCATTCTCTCCCGATGCTTTTCCAGCCCATCCAGCCCGACCTTCTGCTTTAGGCGCCCCTCCTTCCATGCAGCAGCAGCCGGCCATGGCTTCTACGGCTTCCTTGCTTCTCGGCAGAGAGGCAAAGCTTAGTACGTAGGGTGTTTACCCGCGTCGGTATCTGACACAGGGGAGGCACCCTCCTGCGCTTAGACGGTGGGTTCGACTCGGGAACTACCGTAATTCTACCAGATTCCTGTCTGGCCCTATTCCAACGTGCGTGTCTTCGGTATCGCTGTTGGAGCCACTATCACAGTGCCACATGCGGGTTGGTCCAGATGGCTCAGACAAGGCCGGCCTAGACGTCACTGCCATCTGCACTGTGGCGCGCGGCTCCTTCAGGTCTCACCCACAACATCACAGTACATTCCAAGGGCGACAACAAGCAGATGAGTGCTACTGATTGAAACAGGACTTCGTGACAAGTCGTTTGTTGGCATAGAGGCTCGATTAGAATGTCGCTATGTGATCCACCCATTAATAGCGGGAGCGCCCTGTGCTACGCGGAGTAGAACGATACTAGACGATAAACCAGGTGAACCATGCAACACTTCGCAAATTCAACTCCCATTTTGCAGTAGCCGAGCGAAGCATAGACCGTGGAATTCGAATTTAGCACGTTCTCATATATCAAATCTTATTCCGTCAAGCGCCGAAAAGGATGCAAGTGGAGAAGAAACAAAATCGCGGCTGTCACGATGTTGCAGTAGAGCAGCAGAAACCACCGTCGAGGACCCCTGGGCTATGCAGCTAGGCACCAAAAGGCTCGCGATCTGCAGGCCGGGTGTTTGATAACGCTGCGAAAGTCTCCAAATCGCACCACCGGTCCAAAGGATGGGTACTAAAAGAAATTTCTCATACTCAAGCGTCCTGCATGACATACTCTGGGCTCTACACTTTACCTCTGCCAAGAGTTGCCGCAACGGGAGGTATATCAGGCCAGCAATGGGTCGATAATCGGACCGTCTTGTCGATTGCGACTTCGTAAACCCTAATCTCTATATCCCTCATCTCCTGTATCACAGCTTTCTCCAATTCTTCATTCTAGCACCACATCACAAAATATACCTGAACCTCTTCGGCAGCCCCTCTTCCTGCTCCTTCGCCGCCAGCTTCTTATTCTCCCGCCCCAGCACACACCTGATAACCATAGCCATGCCCGCACACAAGAAGCACACGCACGCCAGCCCCACACCCGCGGGCACATACTGCGGCCCATTACTCGGCGGGTACATATAACTCCCGTAAATTCCCGCCGCATTGCCAAACATGCCGCACGTGGCGACTACGACCGCGCGCTTGCCCAGCGGCCGCGGGAACAACGACGTGATCCACGCCAGGATCATCTAGAACGGCGGCAGGATGCCTAGCGGCATGAGGTACATGGCGAACCTGCGGGGGCCGACGCCGTGGGTGGTGACGACGAGGATGTTGCCGATGGCGCCAACGGCCATGCAGCACGCGATGTGGATGCTGCGCTCGCTGGTTGCGGAGCTGTGGTAGGCGACGAGAAGGGTCGCGATGAGGGTGGCGAACCAGACGGAGACGGTTAGCAAGAAAGTAGTGGTGCTGTTGTAGCCTAAGGACTTTACGATGGTTGGGAAGAAGTAGGTGAAGGACTGTGCGAGGAGATTGCTGATGGCCTGTTAGGTCAGCTGAGAAGGAGCGCGAAGGGGATGCCGACGTACTAGTGGTGCATGATCATGAAGAGGTAGAGTCGGTAATCAGAGTACGCGAGCTTCAATGCTTGCTTCCAGGTGATGGCATCGCGGTCGTCCTGCTCGCCTTGCACGTCCTGCGCTAGCCGCCATTACGCAAAGTGCTTCTCTTCTGTCCACAGGCAGCGCGTCGTGTTTGGGTAGTCTGGCATGAAAAAGCTAGGGTTTCATCAGCTCACATCATCGACCGCCGTCTCCCGGAAAGGCGAACTTACACGGCTATCATCGCGATACCGCATGTAGCAGTTCCTTCGATGATGAACAACCACCGCCATTCCGCAATCCCATGCGCTGGATTCAGATTCGCCAGGATACTGGCTGCGATCAGTCTCCCAAACCTGATAGCATTTAGCACCCCTCTCCAACTAGTGCAGAAATGCCGTCGAATACTCACATATTCGCCAGCGCGACTCCAGTGTAAAAAATGGCAAGCCGATGAGCAAGCTCGTGTGCACGATACCAACTCGACATGAGAAATATACACCACCTGTGCCCCATTCATTAGCCCCTCCCCCATACTCATAAATAGGATCTCACACTCACGAGAAGAAAGGCGCCTCCGCCGCCCCCAGAAACAATGGACACATCAGTTCCCCAACATACGAGTGCGTCGCCGCCTGGCACGCGCTGATCATACCCCAGATGGCCATCATGCCGCAGAGACACAGGCTCGGCCGTACTTTTCGTGAGCAGCAGATTGAACGGGAGTTAGAACAGGATGTAGCCAATGAATAGAATCGAGATAATGGTGTTGAAGTCTGTGCCTTTGAGGTGGAGATCCGCTTCTAGCGAGCCCAGGTGGGCTTTCGCGAGGGCGTTGCGGTCGAGGAAGTTTGTTAGATCTAGTCGGGAGGGTTCAGCGAGCTTATAACAGGCACACACGCTTCTTTCTTCTTTTCTTCTTCGGGACGAGTGGTGTAAACTGAGGGAAGGGGGGGGGAAAGGGGTAGCCTACCCTACACATCAACACAACCCACGGCAACAAATGCCCATCAATCTTCCACAGCAACTGCTTTCGTCCTGAACGCATGCCACTCGGCATCCCGCTGCGCGAAGTCGGCCCGCGTACGCCTGCAACTCGTCGTCCGCGCTCTGCGAAGCGCCGGCGGCGCCGACGGCTGGCTTGAGCTCGTACGCCTCGATCGGGTTGTCGAGGGAAGGTGCGTTTGATATCCATATCCGCGTCCCAATTTGAAAAAAAAAAAAAAAAAGGAAAATTTGGACCCCAAACAAAACAATCCAGGAACCAAGGTAAAGGAAAAGGATCTCGAAAACACGGGGTCCCCAGACTACTTAAGCTTTTTCGGACAAGGACCCGCGGATCCAGTCCCATGGGGTAGGAGAGGTGACGCATTGAGGGGTGTGAGGGAGGCTAAGAGGTGCGCCGATCTAGGCCGGCGGGGAGAAGGCCGAGCGGGGTGTGTGGGGAGGGATGGGGTGGGGACGGGCTGTCTTAACTGGTATGGGGAGTTGGGGATGGGGTAAGTAGAGGGATGAATCGGTGTGTTGGTGTTATGAACATGTCGGTGTTGTTAGTGGGACGGAGGGAGAGGGGTTGGAATCGGATGTGAGATGTTTTTTAGTGGGGAGTAAGTATGGCGAGTCTTTACGAAGATGGAAAGGATTGAGAGGATACTCAGAGGAGGTCTTTTCAAGTAGTTGAGTGATAAAGTAACTATGTGATGTGTGCATAACTAGAATAGTATGGAGATATCCTACTGTACCGCTGTTTGTTTTAATGTCGACCACTGGACGGTCAAACGGGTTTCCAAGTTCGCGCCAAAACAAATTGAAACAGCAATTGAGCTTCCGGGACACTGAAAACTTAAAACGTAATAGTAGATGTGTTGCAGAGCAGGGCTTCATGTTTCTACAAGCCGGGTTTGGCTGCTCGGTTTCGCATCGCAACGCAGTCAATTGTTCGTATGAGCATGCGTTATCCTCGATTGCAGTGGTATCACTACTACATTCTTTTCTTTTGGAGTGATCTTCATGGGATTTCATCACGCAAGTGGAAATAGGAGCCTCTATATTTCAAGACATCGCCAGATAGTATGTCTTGGCCGCCGCAGGAACAGCGTGGACGAGAGAGGACGGTGGCAGATGTCACGTGACACGCTTGATCTTCGCCGATCCGATCTGCCAGAACCAAAAAAATTTCAAATTACCATGAGTTACCGGTCTTCCACAGATTCTTTCTCTCTTATCGTAACACAATCACAAGATATGAGGAGGTATGTTCATGATGTTTGTTCTCGTAGCTCTTTTATGATGCCTCTACATACGCATGCATCTCGTATTCACCCACACTCGACCACACCCATCAACAACCCTAAATATAGTACAAAGAAGTGTTCAGAAGGTTCCAAGATCCCTAACCCCTTTTAACCGACCCCAAGTTCCGAAACGCTAACCATTTGACACAAGAACCCTCAGGAAGAATTGATTACGCACCCACTTGAACTTAAGCGGAGGCATACACCGAGCCAATAGTGCTGGGAGTGGTGCCGCTAACGAGCTTTCCATCAGCAACCATGTAGTAGCTGTACTTCTCAACGAAGGGCTGCTCGTCCAACCACGGCAGCACGGTCTTGAGGAAAGTGGCGACCTGGTCATCAGAGCCCGTGGCCGCGAACTCGGTGAGCCAGACAGGCTTGCCGCTCTGCGTGTGCGCCTCGGTGACGTGGTCCTTGAAGTACTGGATGTTGGTAGCCGAGTCATACCAATGGATGTTGACAACGTCATAGTCGCACTGGCCAGCGCATTCAATGTCCCACGCCTTGAGGTAGCCGAGACCATAGCCCTGGGTTGCATCGCCGTTGGTGACAGAGGGCGAGGCAACGCGTCCACCGGCGGCCTTGACGGGGTTCATGTACACGATGTGCTTGGCGGCGGCAACTTTGGGGGTGAGGTTGGCCTGGGCTGGGAGTTCGGGCTCGTTGAATGACATGAAGTTGGTGGAGCCGGACTTGAGCGCCGCCTTCCAGTTGGTTTCCCAGGTGCTGGTGAACTGGTCGCGGAGGTCGATCAGCATGGGGACGTACTCGAACTTGGAGTTGAGCCCTGAGGAGGTTTGAGCCCAGTTGTATGCCCAGGAGATGGTGTTATCGCCCTCGAAGCAGGTGGTGAGGGAGGCATCGTTGTATGCAAGACCACGCTTAGTGCCACCGGTGGAGGGGCTGGAGGTTGCGGACGGGGTGGCGGCAGAGGAGACAACCGCGGACGAGTAGACAGCAGCACTGGAAACGGCAGCAACCGAGGAAACGGCAACGGGCTTAGAAACAACAGCGGGCGAAGAGACGACAGCGGCAGAGCTCACAGGGACGTAGACGCTGGGGACTACGGCGGCGGTGCTAACTTCCTCAGCACTGGACGCCGGAGGAGTGTATGCCGGGGCGGTGTACGCTGGAGGGGTGTAGGCAGCGAAGGATGACCTAGAGCTGTGGACGTGGTTGTGACCATGGCTGTGGTAGGCTGCCTGTGAGGATGAAGAGGGAATCGCTTCAGCGGCAACAACGGACGAGCTGACAGCTTCATAACCGCCACCAGGAGTCACAGTCACGGTGACTGCGTTTGTGGCCGTGACGGTGATGGTCTGCGGCCCGCAGACGCCCTCAGTAGAGACGGCCTCGGCACCAACAGTTGCAGCCTCAGAGGTAACTGGGACTGCGCTCAGATAGACGGTGGAGACGACGGTCTCGGTAAGGTCGAGGGTCTGCGTAGTAGTCGAGGTGCCCGGGTAGATGGGGGAGCCGCTGCCAGTGGGAGCATATAGCCCAGTAGTATTCAATGCATAGGGGGCACCAGTGCCCGCTGCGTAGCCGGAAGGACGGTAGTGGAAGGGGACCGCAACGGCAGAGGAGACCAGGGACAGGAGTCCGAACTTGGTGAATGATGACATGGTGTAGGTTGGTATGTGGTTTTATATGGACGAGGGTTTGTAGTGGATAGTTTTGCGGTGAGTGTTTTGGACAGGGAGTTTGAGTGCGGCTGCTGGAGCGCAAAGAGTGAGGGAAGCCGACCAGGGCGTTGCGTGTTGTTGAAAAGAGAGTGATGCGCTTCAAAGGAAGGCGAGTGAATGGAACGAGCGAATGCTCAAGAGAATGACAGCAACAGCACCGTGGATGGAGAGAATGCGGGTGAGGAGAGAAGGAGGAAGTGTGACTGGGGCGGGCCTGATATCTATTGCGAGGGGGTGGACATAGCGCTGGCATGGGGGTGCGGTGGCCATGCCAGTAAGCAAACCAGCGTGCAGTCTTGTTCACAGCGTTTCCCTGGGGGCGGCCCGTTTCACCAGTGAGCCACGCAATCTTGGTCGTCCAGGGGGAGCTGATGGGGCCGGCCGCGCGTGGAAGCCGCCAATCCTTCGCGACTCACACGCAGCGTCTCGCTGCTGAACCCAGCACACGGCTGGCGAGAGGGCGAGAGCTACCCGCTTCGGCCAGGCGCTCCCGGTGTGGTCGCTGGCGCCGGGCGTGAAACGCTTGGTGGCCGAAGTGGGCGCGCGGTGGGCGGGCGAGGATCTGAGCAAAAGCTTGTCGCTGACAGCTGGCCAGGGGCAGCGACGCCGCCGTGTGAGACGCTCAGGAACCCGCAGCCTCCCGCACGAGGAGCCCTGAAAAGTGCCCAGGCACAGCAAAGAGACTGGCCGGGAGCACCATGGGTCGTGGCCCCCCCAGCACCAAGCCGGCACTCAACACCAGGCCAACCACGAGAGCGGCAGAAACCCACCCAGCCAAGATCACCAGCCGCTGTCGTTCTTGGGCAAACTCCCAGCAAAGATGGGCATGCCGCGCCCCGTCGCCTGTGCTCGATCTTGAACCAGGCGTGCCAGGACCTCGTCGCTTGTCAGAATCGTGACCCGGAGAGCCTCACCGTGACCGTGCGGTATCGATTCGTGGCTATCATTTCCGTGCAGGATGCTGGAGGATCCTCCCCATGGCTTGGTTGCAATCGCCACACTGTATCATGTCCTCGCGAAGCACACCGCGAACTAAAAGCAGTCGCATCCTGGCCTTCACAGGGTCGCTGTCAGATTGTGGTGTTGCAGTCAGACGGCACAGCAAACTGTGTTGCGGCGAAGAATCATGGTCGCGGAGCCGGCTTACGACTCCTCCAAAAGCATGACCTGTGGGGATGCTGTCAGTGGCGTCGACGGCTCTTTTCAGCCCCTGTGGTCGGGACCTCGGGACCGGATTGAGACTGCACCACCGAGGAGGCCTGGTGAGCCTCAAGGGTATCTGATGCTGGAGGTCCAGCGAGGAGGAAGGATGCACCGGGAATTGCTTCAGCCTCATCAGCGAGGGCTCAGGGACGAATACGAGGCGTGCGAGGGTACATGTATTCATTGAACAGGAACACCAATGTCACGGGTTTCTGAATGCTGACGTCCCATCACAACCTCATCCTGCATCCGGCACCTGCTTCGCCTCTTCCAAGCACTTGGCTGCCATCTCTCCCTACGAAGTGTATGGGGAGTTTCTACCGATGCTGTCACACTCGAATGGCTCAACGTTATTCCCATGTACCACCTAGGTGTCTTGATCTTCATTGTCATTCATCTTCCGACCTTTCATCCTTCAACCCTTTGAAGCATTCATAGTGTGCCTTTAAGGATAAGCTCTTCCTGTTCTCCGTTTTTACCGCGCATCTTTTACCTGATGGTTAGTATGCAAATACATCGAATAATAGGCCGGTATACTCATCCCTCTATCACCGTCCTTGCATACTTCTCTCTCCCCACCCGCGCGGAACCAAAGCGCCTCGCCGCACCCCATCACACCCCCTACATCCCAAAAACCCACCCTCCCACCTGCATTCCACCCACTCCTTACCGCCACCCCACCCCACAGCGCAAAGAAAACTCAGCACAGAATCTACCCTGCCTGCGTGCCGCTTTCGCCTCAAACATGCATAACGAAATTACCCTTGCCCTCCTGCAGTAAGGCCCAAAAAAAAATGCGGCCCCACATTCCCCCTCTCATTGGCTGGCTACACGAAAACCGGGTACAAGTATAGCCAATGACATCCAAGTACTAAACATCAGCGCCGCGGTGTTTCAATTCGCGACTCCAGAAACTTGTGTGCGATGTTACATAGCTTTGGAAAACGTGTTATGCATGCCGTGCGATGGGGCGTTTTTGTGATGCGTGGCGCTGTTTCTCGAAACGCCCGGCGGCCTTGTTTGGGAGATGCGGGTGGTTCAAAACGGAACATGATTCACGGGTAGTTAAACTATGCAGCATGCTGTGAGTTTGAGTGGTGGGCCGATGGGATGTTTAGAAACTGCATACCCGAACACAAACGGTTGGATCTTCTTCTACAGGCGCTGGAATTGGGCGTTTGGAAGAGCTGTTTGGAAGGACTGGCTTATGCGCTGTCTGAAATGCCTCAATGCCATTGCCCAAACGCTATCTGAATAGCCTCAACGTGTGAAAGAAGACTGAGGCGTGATGCAAAGTCCATCAAGTCGTGAGTCTTAGGCTCCCATCTAAGCTGATGTTTTTCCATCGGGTTTGACGCCGTTTGGAGTGGCTTCAGCTCACCTAGGTACTGGTAATAAATCAGGGCGTGATACAAAGCCTACAACAGCGATAGGATGCTTTCCAATGATCACAAACACCGTCCTGCGCATTTCACACACAGACGCCCAGTCCATCGAATAGTAGTAGATTCTCTCCGCATAGGTTACTTTCATCACCCAGCTTCCCCCAAAAAAAGGCCTCCCTATCACCTACGCCTTTCATATACTCGTCTAGCGCTTTCAAGCGCCAGCCATCATACCCGAATAAGAGCATCTTCAGCGAGATGCTCACGCTCTTGTCCTAAAGCCCAGCCAAAAGAAGATTGCCCTGCAACATGACGCTTATAGCACCAAAGCCACTGAAAACTCCATCATATCTGACTCCTTATCGCTATCATGCATGTCATCAGAGAGCGCCATGTAGTGTGCCAAATTGCACCGGAGAGGCAGAAGCAGTGCCGATGAGACGATCGAAACCAAGACTCCGCAAGCCCTCGCTAGGCCGAAATTTTGATTATCGTGAGAAAGGAAAAGTAGGGCGTCGGCGATCACGCGAGGTATCGGTACGAGTCCACCTTCGCGCCTTCGATACGCTCGAGGTACTCGCGCTCAATCAAGCTCTCGATGCGCTTCTTGATCATAGTGACCTCGGGCTTGAACTGTGGGGCGAGCTGGTTGAGTGTCTCGGCGACGAGTTGCTGGTGCGAGAGTTCCTTGCGTTGTCTGTTGAGAGGTGTTAGTTGGTTCAGATTAGGAGAGAAGGGGATGCGAAATGAGTGGTACGTACTTCATGATCCTGACCACAGCCGCTTCAATGCAGAAGCCCCTAGAGTCATCGTTCTTCTTCTCAGTCTCCTTCCGCTCCCTGTCGCTCTCTACTTTGTTCCCGTTGGACACCACGCCCACTTTGATGCGATGGAACTTGCCCATGAAGCCCGCGTTGAAAGAGAAGCGGTCTGTGGGTTTGACATCCTTGCTCATAGGTTCCTTCACTAGGATCCGGGTTTTGGGAGCCACGGCTAGAGACTGGAGATTCCTGACGAGGTCGCTCACCGGGATGTTGGTTTGCGCCTGGATATCCTCGAATGTTAAGGACACATCCGCTGAGACTTCGTTGAATAGTAATAGGATGACCATGCCATATGTGGACACGTTAAGCTCATGTCGCCTCTCCTTCTGCGTGCCTTCTTTGCCGGGAACTTTGGGGAACACCGCTCGGACGTCTGCGGAGCCCATAGCAGCTAGCCAGGTAAGCTGTCTTCCGGAGTGCTTCTCGCCGTAGTATTTCTCGAAGCCTCGCTTTATGCGATCGATAGCCGGCGGGAAGATGCATTTCAATGTCTTCCCCTCTTCGTCACCAGAACCACCCATAGATTCTAATGGCCATGTCATGCTCGTCAGCACGTTGATAGCGAGCTCGATACGCTTGGGGTCGGCGTCACCAAGCTGTGCCACATGACCCTTGTACCCGGAGGTAAGCTCTTCGGATATGGTCATATCTTTGAACATTGCCTCTAACTTCATGGTGAAATTGTTCCCAAGCTCAATCTTCATCCTCGAGATCATCTGCTTCTCGACATCGTTACTGATCGACTTGTTCATGAGCAGTCGCCTACAGAGATGCTTCTTGTAGTATCGCTCAAACAGATCCTTATCCTGAACGTATCGTAGGAGGACAATGGCCTTCTCCAAAACCATGTCGATCTCGTTTTCGGTCTTGCCTCTGATGCCCTTCTTCATGTTTTCATCGATAAAAAGCGAGATATATTCGGAGCTTCGCGGGAAAGACGAAGCGTTGATAAAGTCGGCAAAACTCCTCGTTAGAGCTGTCTGGAGGGCATTATCAGAGTTGAATGCATTCTTCCAAATAAGGTCGAATTTGTCCTTCAGCTGTAGTACGTCCTCAACCCATTTAATTGCCGCAACGGTTTGTTGATTGAGACTCTTTTCTAAGGCCGGACCTTTGCCTTTGTCGGCACCTTCAGAGGGCGGTGGCGCTTGCGACGCAGCGATTGCTGCGTTGTTGACCTCTGTACCCATCTCCACTACGCGCTTCTGCATAGCTCTCATAAGCTCGGTCTTCTTAGGATCAACGCGTGCGTTGAGCTCGTAAACCAAGCTGAGCTCCTCCATACGGTCATTGTCGATCATGAACCGCACGCCGCTTTCCATCTCAATCAGCTCCCGGATGCGATTCTTGATCAGTTCATCTTCAACAACCTTCTCGATTTTGGGCGTTGTAGATTCCGCAAGCGTAGAGCGACACCGATCCTGCTCTTCAACAATTCTCCGCCGGGTGTGTCTGCAGTAGGCTCCGGCATCCGACTCCCGCAGCAACAGCTCCGACTCTGCCCTGTAGAAGTCCCGGCTCGTCTCTAGGAAGCTGCCTTCGAATGACGCGACGTACAATCTCGACTCGGCCGTGTCCATCTGGCCTTCGTAGAGCCCTTCTAGCATGTACACACAATCCTTGATCATGTGCTTGTCGATAACGTCACCGTCTCGTTCCATGCGGATCTGCTCCAAGATAACGTGATTCAGCAACTCCAGGACCGAAATACTGTCGCCGTCCTGGGAAAAAGCGTTGAGGATATCGTCGCGGAATAGAATCATGGCTGAATTGTAGATGGAGAGTCTATGGGTGTCTTGGCAGTAAACGCGATCCTGGTGAAAGGTCAGCCATAGAAACTTGCCGGCAATCGAAAGGACATTTGAGACGTGCCATATACATCAAGACATCCGCCAGCATGCCCATGCACACGTGATGGTCCATATAGGCGTCCTTGAGTCCCTTCATGAACTTCTCGCCTGCAAAGCGGCGTTCATTCGTGGTTGTGCCCCCAATTGCTTGCGAGCTGATCAACAGGTTCGGGGAGAGGAGGTCCTGTATGCGTAGCCGGACTTGCGTCGTGAGCCAGTCATGCTCGAAATCTCGAACTCGTTTGTACAAGTCTTCTCCCTTCTTCTTAAGCACGATCCGATACGCGTGTCGATATAGCTCCTCGTATGAAAGCTTCGAAGCGTTCTTTGTGTGAATCTCGTTGAACGCTGATGCAATAATCTTCCAGGTTTGCTCGAAATCGATCTCTTCGCCTCCATGGATACCCTTAGGAAACTTCATGTCAGCCGAAGGTAATAAAAGTATCCAGGCTGATGTAAAGCTAAATAGATAGAGGCTTAAGGGCAGCCTTGCGGTGAATGGCGGGGTGCGGGGACGACAATGTACGAATAGCGGAAGCAACTTACCCTCCGAGGCGGCCGGATCTTTGATCTTCCTCTGCCTGCGATCATAGCTGCAGTCAAGGGGTGTTAACGAGAATAGGCAGAAAGTGATGGTATATGAACGTCCCTGGGCGGCGAGGGCGAGGAAACGTTGGAAGCTACTCCGAACAGCGGGGGTGCCTAGAAGCTTCAAGCGGGCGAACGGCGGGGAAGAGATTCCATGATCTGGGGGCGTGAGCTACTGCAATATGGTGGAGAGCTAGTCGTTAGCAAAGGCTGTGGCCGTAGTGAAGGAGTGAAAGAGGGCTGACGATAAGTTTGGTGGTGATCTCCAAGGCCGCAGACGGCGACCTAGCGCGCCCGCATTCGTGGGGAGGCGATGACCAGGTGCTGAACTTTTGCAACCTCACTCGGAAACGTTCAAATCACCACAACTCCATATATCCACCATGAATTCATCAAGGAATGTTTTGCGCATGTTGGCTCAAAAAGGGGTGCCTCCGAATACCTGGACCCCTCGGTCAGAGCTCAGCACAGCGTCCAAACGGCTATTTCATCCGCCACGAACAGCCATCCCTCGAAGACCTCAGATACCAATCCTACCACAACGACCTATACTATCTAGAGCCCGATATGAATCAACCGCTACGCCCCCATCAGCGCAGCCACCTGCTGTCTCCCCCGGGAAGTCGCCCGAATCCCGGCTTGAGCGCGACAAAGTCCCTTCCTACGACATGACCTTCACCTGCAAGAAATGCGACACGCGCTCCTCGCACCGGATCTCAAAACAAGGCTACTTCCATGGCACTGTACTTGTTACATGCCCAGGTTGCAAGAATAGGCATTTGATCGCTGATCATCTGAAGGTGCACCGACTCTCCTTTCTGCCCCTAGATCTTCTTTCTGCCCCTAGATCTTCTTTCTGCCTTGATAGCTAGAGGACTGAGCCTGACTGTTAGCAGATATTCTCAGATAAATCCGTCACTATCGAAGATTTGATGCGAGAAAAAGGCCAGCTCGTGAGGCGTGGTTCCTTGACTGCGGAAGGCGACGTAGAGATGTGGCCCGACGAGACCACCACCCCTGAAAAATCTGCAAAAGAGGGCAAAACTGGATAAGAAGCAATGAGAAAATGAAAATTGACTGATTTGCCAACATGGAGTTGAGAAAGATTCAGAAGTAGGGATTATGCAATAGGGCAACGCAGAGTCTTCCATGGGCTACGGTCCTATGTAGGGCTGATGGAGAAGAACAATTGTACGATGTGTAAGATAGCCGGTGGGCATTGTAACAAAATCTGGGATTGTAATTGGCGTTTAGAGATGCTACAAAGCGACTTGAACAAGGCTCTCTATCCGAGATCGTTATATCTATATACCCACTACACACTATATTTATGAGACCATGAGTCTCTAAAGGCAGTCATAGGCTGTCGTATTCATGAACAACTAGATTTTTTCCTCGAAGCTTTTCAAATTTAGATTGCCAAATCTTCACAAAAATGGACAGTTAAGTGTGGCAATGACAACCGCGGAAGACGTCAATCATATATTGTGATGATCATACCAATGTATTGTTATTCAGTTTAATTTCTCATGTGGTTTCACCTCTCAAGTCGATCAACCACCTCTAACAATAGTATACATCAGCCCACGAACTTGCCTCCGCAATACACACAAACATCGCACGCCGAGAACAAGATTCGGGCTAGGGACATCTGCTTTGAGTTCCCGCTTACTGAAGCTGAGAGAACATCTGGTGCATCCGGCAGCTCTTGATCCCCTTCATCACCCCCGCCGAGCCCGTCCCGGTCTTGGCTAGCTTGGTCCTCCCGGGCGATATACTCCTCTTTCAAGTACTGCGCCCGGCAAATACCACAGAATTTCGAAATGTTGGGGCCCTGGATAGCCAAGAATGAGAGACTGCATCTCGCTGGAAATTAGATTAGCCCGAGGACGTAATAACGTGTACAGATAGCTTACTGAACTGATGCCCCTCTTTGCATCGTGCCCAGTCTAGACTCTCTAGCCTAATGGGACTGTCGCAAATCGTACAAGTTTCCGGTGCATCGAAATCTGGAGCATCAGAGGGTAGGAGCACTCCACCGCCAATCTCGTGTAGCTTGTCTAGAACGAGAGCGAAAGTCGCTAGCATTCGTTGACCTAATGGACTGTTGTCGCAAATGCTTATGGGGAGCTTGAGAACTGCTTCGGCGAGTACACGGGAGAGCTTCAAGTGTGGAAACTCTGTAGACTCATGTGGGGCGCAGACCCTAGATACTAGAATCTCGTGTCGGTCTTTGATGGTTTTGGGGTTGAAGAAGACATCTTGCCTCAGTCGTTCGATGAGTTCGGCAGTTGTTGGTACCTGAGCAGTCAAGCCCGAGTTATTATTAATACTAAGCGTGGTAGGTTAGTGACAGAGACTTAGTGCAGTGAGATTCATTGCGAGGACTTACTTGATCGAAGCGGTCGGGATAGATGCAACTACTTCTTGAGGCCTCGCAGCTCCGAAGGATTGCATCAATTGGTCTGATATATGTATGATTGCTACAGAAACTTGTTCGGGAGTCTCATTGTTGTATCCGAACCATCTATTGATACTAAAGCACGCTGCTTCGGAGCTTACACCTGCAGTCAGTCTCGTCAGTACTAGTTACAAAGTTTTACCGCGAATCCACTCACTCCCCAAAAAATCGCCCGATGCAATATTGAAATGACCATGGCTCCCTCTTGGATTGGAAATAGTTAATGTGCATGACTGCTCCGCCACCGTGAGATATTCCATCATATCACTCGGATGTCGCGTAGACAACGTAGCGAAGAGATCTCCAAGAGGTGAAAGTGCCAAACCCCAGACTTTAGTAAACGCATTCCCCGCAAGATCGTTGGCTGCACTGAAATATGCTTGGGTGTCCCTCTCTGTCTCTTGCCAAGATGGTAGAGGTAGTTTTGAGTCGTCCGCTATTGGAAGTCTCAAACCCACGGCTGGGACTTGCGTAGTCGACATGTAATAAGAGTAGTACATGTGAACTTCTTGAGGAGATTTGAACGTGAAAGTGACACCTAACGGAATTAGTCGTTGAAGCTCGATGTAGAGCAGGAAGAATGATCACCAGAGAGAACTAGAACATTGGATACAGGAAATGCATTTCATCTCGCAATGACTTACCGGAAATCGGATCCCAGTTCTGCTCGAGATGAGTGGAAGACATTTTGAAGTCTTGCGCTAGACAGTTTGATACGGTAAATGAAAACACCTCTAGTCTGGAGAATGCAACGAGGTACATGTGATGCTGATCGCATACCTTGGGGCACCAGCTTAACGGCCCCCCATAGCGAAGAGTGATATCGTGATACTTGGTTTCATTATCTACGACCAAAATATCCGGCCGAGTTTGACTATCATCTTCGATTCTCAGCACTATGTTCCTTGCGTAAAGCTTGTCGTTCGACGCATACGACAAGACGGAATCCAGACGGCCATCACCTCTGTGAGACCATGGGCTCCACGCAAGATGGGATACACATCGCTGCTGCTGAATAAAATCTTCGAAAACGGCTGTCGAATAGGGAACAGGTTCTGAGACACCGAGTGAGAAATGGCCGATCACTGTAGCTTTCCATCCTTGATCTGATGAGACTGAGGTATACGGTGATTCGACGGATACAAAGAGAACTTGGTTATCATCGTTGGACATGGCCAGTATGTAGGGGCCCCAGTGTAATCTAGACCCGATATTACTCGAAAGACCTCTATCAGGGTTCGTGGAACACCAGGTAAACGACCGAAGGCGCATACGAAGCCTGCGCTTGTCCATACGCTCTTCTTCGTTATCATACGTCTCGTTGCGGTCGAAATTTCCCAGGTATGGCTCTATGCAATCGTTGACGATGAGACGGCGTTCCCAGCTGGCGGGAACTTTTGGACTGCTTTCGGGAGCCCATAATGACAAGACAAGATTAGATGTGAGTACCGCGAGAGCCGATCTTCGATGTTTTGAAATACCAGGTGGTGACCACTCAAGCGAAACTACAGCACTCGCGGATATCTCTTCTCCGACAGAGAAAGTTCCAAAGGGAGCTGGGTATTTCAATGGCAGTTCAGTTGAAGTCCAGAGACTTGTAGCGAGATTTACGATGTGCCATGGACTTGCTGCTGGTTGACGTGAATTCTGGTCTATGTCTCCACTAGGTTCGAGGTTTGGTATCTATGTTTAGTTCTTAGTCTCTTATGAACGTTGTTGTTGAAATATTTTGAAGCTTAGACTTACCAGCAGCTGGACCATCTCGTTAACCGCGATAGCCAATTCACAGTCTTGAGACCATGCAAGGCCGCCCAGCGGCGAAGGCCAAAAGCGAAGCTCCGTCGTCCAAGACATGATGTCAGCCGCGTTTCATAGGTTTCATCGTTACTTCTTTGTCTTGTGGAAAGAATTGTGGTGAGGTGCAGAGGAAATGTTGAAGTGGTGCCCAATTCGTTAAAATGCTTTAACGCTAATCCAAATTAGGAATCGAGGCAAAACCGATGACATGTTTTGGTGCCTGTCTCACTGCAGGTTGAATGATCAAGCTCAATAATTTCTCTATATGTGAAACACCCTTTCATTCATCGTCTCTATCCATGTGGATTCCACATGATGTCAATCATGTCAGCTGCTTCACGAGCAGAAACAGTTTCCCAGCAACCCCATCCCATTCCTGGTCCCAACGGCGTTCACTCTCTACGAGTGCGCCGTCCTTCAGTATTCCCAAATTTGATACGCCCTTTCCGAACAGCTCCACGAAAAGATCTGAGAGTTGTTGAGAAGTTTCGAAGCCTCGTCCATTGACACCCTCTTGAACCAGCTCAGGCCAAGCCTGAAACCTACTCCATCCTACCACTGGCAACCCAGCCCCGAACATATCTACAACTTTCATTGGAAGATCTACTCCGGAAGATGAGGTATGTAATGATACACCTAGATCCGCGGATCCCAGAAGCAATGCATAGTCCTCCGGTGTGAGCCATGCAGTAAGAAGGAGCACGTTAAGCAATTGGTTTTTTTGGTTCAGAGCCCGAACCTTGCTTAGATAGTGCTCTTTGAGTGGCCCTTTGCCTGTGATTATAGCTAATATCTTAGGAAGGCCAGTTTTAGAGGTGACTAGGGCGGAATAGCTTGTTAGTGCTTCGAGAAGAAGCGAGAAGTCTTCGTCGGCAGTCCAGGACGTGGAGCTAACAACAAGACGCAATGAGCCACTTGACAGGTCTTTTGCATACTGTGCGGTCTCAGGTAGCTGGGAGAGGTAGTTGGTGCGCTCTTCTGAGTTTAAAGGTCTGAATAAAGCAGCTGGCCGGTCATGGAGGACCTGGGCTTTGATGTTATACTTCTGCTTCAAGACGGTAGCCATGACATCGGTGACAGCAAAATGCGCAAAAGCAGATCGGGCGAAGATGTTCTCGTATAACCTTGAGACGAGGACAAGAGGATGGCGGCGTCCAAGTTTGAGGGCCAGAATTGAGTAGCCAAAATTGTGCCAGTCAATGACGAATTCAGTATTGCGGAGGAAGCAAACAATTTGAGCAATGGCCAGAGTTGGAATGGAGGGAGGATTCTGCTCGTTTGCTCTCAGTATTCAAGTTGACGGACCGCAACGGTAAGAGATGCAATGGCGAGGTAAACTCACCTGAACAAGCATCCACTTGGTAGCAGTCGCACGATAGCCCATGGCGTAGTAGAGGCTCCATGCCTGCCAGAGCACCTTCAACGGAGCCACGAGTGGAAATAGCAGGCTGCTTGGTGCTCGTAGCCAGGCTGGAGAAGGGTCAATCGGTACTATCTTGATGCTTGAATTTGATACAACATCAGGGTGGAGTTCCGACTCTAGTCCACCGTGTCAGTTGGTTGGTTGAAATTCAGATGATATATGAGGTACAAACCAGTATAGCCAATTAGCTGTACTTGACCCCCATGCTTCGCAATACTAATGGCATGATATTGCATGCGGGGGCTCCGTCCAATATCCCCAAGCACCACCACCTGGAAAGACGCTCCCAAATGCCTGGTCTGTTTTACCCAAGTTCTCCGATTTACATACTCAGCTGGAGTCATGACTTTCTTCTTGTCGTCCACAACCTCATCTTTGGCGAAGTCTGTGGAGTATGGGTCATACTGCGAAGGGAGCGTTACGAGGATAATAGTGACCAGGGTTGAGAAAGCCAGCAAGCCATAGAGGGCGAAATCAAGCGTCGTCTTGGGGCTCAAGTCCCACATGTTTGTAGGGAGATAACAGTAAGCGATAGATAATAGCCTTGATGGAAAAATTCGATTTTTTCTAGGAGTGAATGAGGTGATGTTGCGACGTTTCGTTGTGCGAGTGAATCCTTCGAAGGATCGACCTCGAGGATGCAGTTTGCGGGGACAACCTAGACTTCCGCCACAGCCAGCGCCACAGCTATTTCATCGGTGCTTTAACTGGGCCGATGAAATCAGCGGGCCGACACGATGGCACTGGTGGACCCGACCCCTGACTGGCTGAAGGGAGGCAGTTGATATCGAAACATCGCAACAACACCGTGTACATATCCAGCCCTCCCCGCACAGCCAGCCTCGCCGCGCTCGCTGCTGCACCGATCCGCATTCCTCCAATCCCGATGCTACTGGCGCCTCCGACGACGGGTACCGGCTTGCCCTCGACGAGATAGTTGAGGAGCCTGCGCCTTTGATGGCCTCGTACGCCCTCCCGCTGAATAGTGGCAGCACCGCACACAGCCATGGCCACTCGCCTTCACACAGTCGCCCAGTCATATCCGAGCGACCTCCCTCCTGGATTGGACAGCTTAACGGCGGCGCCCTGAAGAAGATGCCGTCAAATACAAGCCTCCATAGCCATAGTCATTCACATTCGCACCTCGACCACCAATTGAGCCATGATATGGGCCCGAGCGACCACCAGCACTCTCACAGTCATTCTACTCCCGTAGATAAAGTCTTAGCACTCAACCCCTTCACGAAAGGGCGCCCTCGAGGGGAGTCTGATCTTGGGCGGGCCCCGCCACGTATAAGCAACACCTCGAAAGGGTATGCCTTCGACACAATAGAAGAGGCACCAGTGCCGACAGGGACGTAAGGTCTGCTCAATTCCAAATAAGAAGCTCAATTCCGCTGACTACGGTAGTTTATGGCCCACACCAGAAGAACTGCTGACCGCACTCCTCATTCCTCTCCCATACCTATTCGCCTCAATAGCGTACCCTGCGGCCGTGGCAGTGCCTCCTACTCCTTTTCCAGCGCCTAAAAACTTCCCGGGCGAGCCCGAACTAGCAGACACTACGTCACTAGGGGCAAAACTGGGGTCGAACCTGTCTCCATTCGTTCTCGCATGCACCTTATCCTCGACAACATTGATACTAGTCGGCATAGTGTCCAAGTTGCGTTCTCTAGGGGAACCTCTGGATCGTCGAAAGGGCTCCTTGGGTGGTTCTAATGATTCAGGGAAGAAGCAAGACTACTTTTGGAGTACTGCAGGGCTTCGTCGACTGGGTGGCAGGATATTCAGTGTCCTCTTGCCGTTTTACGGAGCAATGCATCTAGGAGGTGCAAGGGCTGCTATCGTACTGCTGACAGTCGCTGCAACTGGAATTGGCAGTTTTGATACGCGCCCAGTGAAGCATTCGTTTCTGGACAGCTGGAAAAGGACATTTCGGACTAGGAAAGCTACGTGCGGAGTCCTGCTACTAGGACTACTAGCAGATTTCCTAGATGCTTCAGCAAGCTCCAGCACGTTGATATTAGGTCACCTAGCCCTCGTATTGTCCATCTTGACAATTCCTCCTCCATTCCCGACCACAGGCTGGTCCTTGCTCACGAAATTCAAAGGAGCACCTACTTCATCGACATCTGGTGCAGGTGCTCCGTCTATTCCACGGCTCTCTCTGGCAAAGCCAGTTTCGCCTTTAGTTTCATCACCGGAAGATACTCATCTTACTTTGCTTGCAGGTTTAATTCTAAGCGGCATCACCATGATCTCTGCGATTGCCTTATCTGCTGCTCCGTCAATTTCATTTCCTGCAATTACATTTTCGACCCTTTCTGTAGCCTCAGCAACGGGTCTCGTTTTCTTTTCGGTTCCATCTTCTTTACGGACACAACGGAAGCCCGGCGTGGCACTTGGCTGTATCTTGATAGCAGCTTTTGGTTATCTGCAAAGTTCGGGCATTTGGAGAAGATCTCCATATATTGCCGCTTTCTGTACTTTATGTTATGCGGCTGTTACATTTGACACAACAGCCTCCGTTATCCCACACGATGCGGGCCATCACGATCACGATCATAAGCATCAACACAATCATCCTCTGCATGGAAACCACTCGAGAATAACCGGCATTCTCCTCAGAAAGTGCACTCCGGGGTCTATCCTACGTAGTATTCTCATGGAAAGAGACTCTCGTAGGATTGCCTATTTTGCAGTGTAAGTTGCTCAATATGCTTTAGCAGGACTATGCTGACCAACACTATACAGGCTCAATCTTGGTTTCATGCTTGTACAATTCTTCTACGGTTTCGTCAGCGGTTCGTTAGGTCTCCTAACCGACAGCATACACATGCTGTTCGATTGTGCAGGTCTAGCTGTTGGTCTGGCCGCCGCTGTCATGAGCAAATGGCGGCCGAGTGTCCGCTTTCCCTATGGCTTTGGCAAGATCGACACCATCTCTGGGTTCGCTAACGGCATATTCCTCATGTAAGTCTAAGCCCTTTACGTATAGTGACTGCGGGCTGACCCCACAATAGGCTTGTGAGCGTAGAAATCGTGTTCGATGCTTTCGAGAGACTTTGGGAAGGATCTGAGCTCCATCGTCTGGACGAGCTGCTGGTCGTCAGCGTGCTTGGCTTCTTGGTCAACCTGGTTGGCCTAACAGCGTTTGGACACGCTCACCACGGCCACGATCACGGAGGCCACGATCACGGCGGCCATGGCCATTCCCATGACAACGAGAACATGCAAGGCATATTCCTTCACATTATGGCCGACGCCTTGGGCTCCGTCGCCGTCATAATCTCGACTCTCCTGACCAAGTACTACGGATGGTCAGGCTGGGACCCCATTGCGTCCTGCGCCATCGCCGTCCTCATTTTCCTCTCGGCAATGCCTCTTGTCAAGAGCTCCGGCCTGCGTCTCCTGCTCTCACTTTCCGCGGACGTAGAGTATGGCATCCGTAACACGCTCCAAGAGCTCAGCTCCCTCCGAGGCGTAGTCGGCTACACAGTCCCCCGATTCTGGCTCGAAGACGCTGGCGCCGCACACGCCGAAGCGCATGCGCACGACCACAAGCATGACCACGATCATGACCATTCGCACGATCACTCGCACGAAGAGCCTGCTCCTACGCATACTCACGGAGACGATTGCGACCATGGCCACTCTCATGAGTCGCCGCACGAGCACGATCACGGGCACGATCATTCCCACGACGACCACGCCCATGCGCATCCCCCGGCCCAACCGAAGATCCTAGGCGTGATTCACATCATCACTTCCCGTATCGCCGATCCTGAGGACGTCCGTGAGCGCACGGTGCAATTCCTCAAGGGGCGCGGCATGGACGTCGTTGTGCATGTTGAGCGTGAGGGTGACGGGAGGTGCTGGTGTGGTGGCGGGAGTAAGGTCGGCTGAGCTGAGTGAGGTAATCCGCCGGATAGTCCGGCTCCAAGTTGAACGGGCGATGTTGGATGTCAAAAGCTCGGCGAACTGGAGGAGAGAGCTCGGGTTCGGAACGAGCGGGGGAGACTCGGGAGGCCTTCATTCGGATTTGCTTATCGATCAGGCAGATTCGCGGCTTCGATCGGATCTTTCATATGGGTGGCTTCGAGATGGGGTGGCGTGTCACACCATCAAAGGGGCTGTCACGCTTTTCGCCGGGTAAACACAAGATGTGCGTAACTAGGAGATTTCCAGATTTTGAGTGTGAGTTGTTGTGCTAGAGCATATTTCCTTCCATCTCGTTGCATATGCTCGGCGTACATATGGTTAGTGGGTGGGCATGCTTCTTCATTGTCTCGAGCGAGTTGAGCAAATTGCGTGTAAATATAGGGCAGCCGGCTGCGAAACTACCACAGATATATTAGAACTCCAGGAATTACTATTGTCCCTAATACGAAGTGATTTCCCATCGGATCGGCTGAATCGACTACTCGCTAGCAGACGGATCACTCGTTCAAGGTAGCCCGAATGGAAAAACCGCGTACTATAGCTGCCGATACTGCCGTCTGACTCACATGAGCTCCATCTATGCATAGATGTCCAGAGCGTCGGCAAACCTTTCTACCTGTTTAATGCTTGTAGGAAATGTGTGAACGACGTGCTGATAAAGGTAAAGGTAGGTGAAACACGAGAGGCACGTAAGGCACGTGAGGCAGCAGAACAGCTCCAACGCGAGAGAAATAGTTGCAGCAAAGGCAAAAGACGAAAGAGGTTGTATTTACCATTCCTGAGCAGAATTGTGTGGTTGACAATAGGGTGGCCAAACAGCTACCGACCGGTCTCCACGTCAGGACGTGCGGACAAGGCACTTTCACCACAAAGCAACTCCATAATTAAGATAGAGTCGTAGAGCAATCTTAGTTTCCTCACAACGTTGGTTTCTATACATACAGGACGTAGCGTTGTGTTGGAAAGCTTCATGTTGTAATGCATGTACATACGTGTGATGATGATGTGGGTGCACGAGCCGTCCGGATACATTGACTATTAATTCAGCATAAAGATTAATATCGCTTCTTAGAACTTATCCTTTAAGATGCTGCAATAATCAAGCTAATATAGCGTAGAATCAGCCAGTAACTAACGCCTTGTTGACGTGGGAGGTTCTAGCGACGACGTAGCAGTCGACAGGGATTGCATTGAATACGATTTCATCGTCGGAGCGAACAAGAGATGTTAGAACCTGCTTCTAGGAATGGGAAGAGAGCTCTTGTTAAAATTTCTCGACTTTAGGGATCCTCCTGCGGTTATGCTGTCCGCGCTGTTGAGGCCCTCCACCACGCGGATCTCCCTGCAGTCTTGCGGCTGCACTCCTTCAACGACATCAACCTCAACTGATGCCCTCGCAAGATACTACCTGTCCGCAATAAAAGGCACGCTGAACGCCATCCTGAAGACTAGCTCATTAGAGGCGCCTAGCCTGCAGAATCTCTAGCGAAACTCCAGAATTGGCTCGATAAACCGAGAGCCCGAAGCGCGGGGACTCGCTTTAGAATATTTCGTACCACAGCCCATCGCTCCTCTTCGTTTCCAAACGTCTCGTGTATAAAAGCCTTGAGCCCGAGCGGAGCACCATAGACACGAAAACAAATTTGTGATGCATCCCTCCACCCACGAGTAAATACAATTGACGTCGAAACCCTTCTTTCAGCTTCGATAATCAAGTCGCTAGCACGCCTACCAATTTCGGTTCAGTCAACACCCCAGCACATGGGAAAGATCGCGCTCTATCCCATCCCAGTCCTCGGCCCCATAAATTACTCTAATGGCATCCCTGAAATCCGCTTTGGCATGCATTGGCCTTCTATACTCTGTGAAGATATCATACCACCTCGTCGACTTGCTCTGGGTTTACTTCATCCGGCCCACATCTATCTCGCGGTATCTCTCCACGGATCCCTCCCACCCCTCCTGGGCCTTAGTCACCGGAAGTACTGACGGCATCGGCCTCGGGTTCTCACACGAACTCTGCTCCCGCGGCTTCAACGTCCTGCTCCACGGCCGAAACCCCGAGAAACTCGCCCGCGTCCAGGCGGATCTGCTCCAGAAATTTCCCGGCCGATCCATAGAGACGGTCGTCGCCGACGCCGCCGCCTACGACGCCGCCGGCCTCCGCAGCGTCGTGGAAAAAGCCTCAAGCCTGCCAGACGGAGGACGACTGCGAGTGCTCGTGAACAATGTCGGCGGCGCCTTCCAGCTCATCGGCAAGGGGGTCTTCGGCTTGCTCTCAGAGATGACGGTCGAGGATGTAGACACGTTCATCAACGTGAACGCGAGATTTCCTGCGGTCTTGACAACAGCTCTGGTACCGGTGCTGACGGCCGAAAGCAACGCGCCGACGTTGGTGATGAATATCGGCTCTATGGCCAACTACGGGCTGCCGTATTCGGTAGTCTACAGCGCGACGAAGTCGTTCAATCTGACGTTCTCGGCGGCGTTCGGGCGGGAGATGAAGTCGCGAGGGCACGATGTCGAGGTCTTGGGGTTTGTCGTTGGCACGACGGACACGGTGGGCGCGCCGGCGGAGAAGCAGGGCAATATGGCTGTTATGACTCCAAGGGGGTTGGCGAAGGCGTGTCTGGATAGGTCGGGGTGTGGGCGGTGGATCTTGCCGCCCTCGTTCAAGCACTGGATTCCGATGAAGATCAACGAGTCGGTGCCAGAGTCGCTAATTGTTAATCAGGTGGAGAAGCTTTGGACGGAAGACAGGAAGGGGAACTGAGGCTGGAGGTCTTGGAGTCGGCTAGGAAAGGCCGTGATAAACCTGCCACTAGATCAAGTTGAGAGTGTCGAAGAACTAGAGAGTTGAGGCATACTTCCATCATTACTTGATATCACGGCTCACGGTGTGAGTCGAGAGAAACACTCAGTTTCTACATTTCCTATCCTAGGGGATTGTAGTGGAAGTGCAGCTAGTCTGCAAGATAGATCTTATAGATTGCGCGACTGATATATTTGCTTAGCACTCCTATACATTCGCACAAGCTCTATGTATGCATGAAAGTCCAGGAGCTACGGATCCAGACGTTTCTGCCTGTGTGGTTCTTGTATGAGCTATATGGAAACCGTGCTAGCGGCTTCTCAAGGTACTCCAGCGGTTGCTGTAAGTGGGTGGGCGAGGTTAGCTTTCAGAGCCTTACTAGGTAGATCTCTCTGATATGCATGACGAAGCACTCAAGCCGTGGACACCCCCAAGCTAGTACATAGAATTCCGAGTACGTTCCCCGCGCACACTCCTCCCCCTCGTCCCTTCCATCATCTCATTCCCTATTACCAATTGACTTCACTACTAACCCCTACAGCCCCTAGACGCATTCTGCGTAGGGTAGTCTGCAGTTAGCTTTCCGTAGAACACAGTACGGATCATCTTTCCCTTCCTTGCGCAGCTCCTCGGTCTAGCTGCCGCAAAGTTGTGTGATCGATCTCCCGATTCCTCTTTCGTACGGTGGTTCGACACAGCAACCTGAAACGGATTGTTGGGTAAAGGGGGCGTCGCGTTGAGATGCTGTGATCGCTCGGGTGCGACGGGGCGACCCCGCAGCAGTTCTGCGTACTGAGTGGGTGGAGGTGGAGGTGGAGGTGGAGCTTCAGGGTGGTGGCGCCACGACGCACAGGGGAGCGGGGGACGCTCCGGGATGAGGAGCCGAGGAGAGCGCTCGGGGAGGTGGCTCCCTTTTTATTGGGTGAGAGCAAGCGGTTCAGCATGTTTTGAGTTTGAGCTAGGGGTGTGAGGATGGGCAGTTTCAGAGGATCACGATAGGATGAAGAGATCATATTCAGACAGGATAGTAACGCAATTTGAGGATATGGATTCATTCATTACCTATTTTCGCTCTATGGGTACTGTACAATAACAATTCGCTTTGCCCGTTACAGCTCAGCCGTCAACAGGTCCGTAAGCTGCTTTGGGTATCTTTGGTGGATAATTTATAGCCTGTTCTCGTGTAATACGCTTGACGCCTCCGGTACGCCTAGGTCCAAGAAGTGGGTAATACAGTTGCTGAGAAGAGAAAGATTGCCGGTGCTTCGAACTGAAGGCTAAATGAACCGGAAGACAGACGCCGTGTCAGAAGTTCCCCTATGAAACTCCAAGTGTCGAGTTTGCAGTTGCAATGATGTTGCTCCGCTGGACAGTGACAAGTGGGAAAGACAGGCTACCACCACTGCTGGAATCGCTCTGCTTTGGAAGGAGTGAAGTGACGTGTGGATGATCGTATCGAGACTACGATCAAGGAGACTCGTGCTCGAAATGCTCCGCAATACTCTCGGCGATCTCACGATCCACGCTACTCCTGCGTCTGCGCTGCCTTCTCATCTCCATTTCGGCATCCATCAGCCGCCCTTGAATCCAGACGCGGAACTTGTCGTCCTGCTTAACTGAATCCGTGTTGAGAAGTTCGGTCAGCGTGGCCTTGATCTGTTGGTTGATTTCGTACAACGAGTGGCCCTCGTCGGACTGGCTGTCGGTGCACATGCTGCGGTGGTCGAAGGCGGCGTTGGTAGGGCTTGGGTGCGCAGACATGGGAGACGAGGAGTAGATCTCGTTGGTGAAGGAGGTGCGAGAGGTCCTGGGTGAAGATCCGAAAGACTCGGGAGAGTGGGCGGTCAAGGGAGTAGAAGAGGGGATTTGGAGAGATAAGCGGCGACGAAGGTTCTCTTGTTGGTTGGAGAGACGCATGTAACTTCGCATGGGGTCGTCCTTGAGGCTGGGTTAGTCACATTGCGGTATGAGAGGTAGTCTGCAATTGGGGACTCACCATGGAAAGATTGGTTCTTGTTGGATAGGACATAGCGACTTGAGTGTGGATATGTTTTTGTATGGGCGATTGAGTGTGTTGGTGAGGGATGCCGTGTCAGTGTCCTCAGTTCGTGTTGGGGCGTTAGGATGCGGGGTGCAGCTTTGATATATTCTCGAGCTGACAGGCGTCTGCAGCTACACACCCTATTGCGGGGCGTCGAAATGTCTGGAACGTTCAAGGTTCAGGGTCGTTCAGTGAGTCATTGGTGGGCCCAAAGTGTAATGGGTGGGCCGAGCCAGTGAGGTGATATCAGGTTGGTGTGGTAGTGGTGTGCTCGACGCGGCGTGCAGTAACTTGAAGCGTGAGGATGATGATAGCAGCTCGGGTCAAGCAGGGCAGCCGGGCAGCAGTGTCGGGAGGAATTGGGGAGAACATGAAGGGTGCAACCAGCCTTTTATTGCTGCGACTCAGCATTGTCTCCCTGAGCGACGTGAATGCTTGGGAAATTAGGGGGTGCTGGATCAGCCCTGCGACCTGGCTTGCTTGCTATGCGCAAGAATAGCCTGCCCTGCCGGGTGATGCTCTGCGGGCGCCATGGCAGGATGCGCCCCCACACAAAGCCCCAGAAATCCGGATCCTGCTGTTCGGAATGTATTCGTGAGAGTGATTGGACGCCGGGCGCCATGACGAGCGATCAATGCCTCGCACGCCAACCCGAAACACCACCACGGTCCCATATCGCACCCAAACACGCTGAAAACGTCACAAGCCGTCGTCACAATGCTCGATGCTGCAGTTGAGCCTGTCCGCGCTCGCGAATTCTCCCGATCCCGTCGTGCCCGTTAGGCCGTCAAAGACCGATGGCTGACAGCTGCAGGAACACCCGTCCGATGCTGCACTGAGCAAGCTTCATGGCCGGTAGTCTCACGTTGCGCCTGGCCTCCACCCATCAGACCAGCTCGCCAGCCTCATCTGACGCCCGAGCCCGTCAGCCATGTTGATCGCGATGACGGCTGGCGTAGCAGTCGGACTCTCGCAAAGACCTTCTGCGTCCGACGAGTCGTGGTACTGGAGCTCTTGGAGTCCCAGTTTTCGACGTCATGGTAGCCAAGAGCGAGGCGAGAACTGCATTGCGAAAGATACCACCTCTTGGCCTCGCATCCAGATCGCCGATTGCTTCTTTCGGATTACGATTGTGTTGGCTAAGGAGTACGCAACCTACGTCGTTAGTCTCAACAAAACATGTGAACGTCGTAGTGGTGTTGCTGTGGCGTCCACCTGCGAGAGACAAACATCCAGGTTTTTGCTTAGCCTCGATGTGGCTGTTCCAACTTCTCCAGCCCCATTCCGTGTGCCTTTCTTGGTTCAAGCAAAGTCTCAGAGTGCAAGTCCAGCCATGGCCAGAGGTGATCCGCCCTCTGACGTGTGGCTGAGCGAACTGGTACCTGGGAGGAATGATGCCATGCACGTGCATGTTCTACGTATGAAACAAGCAAGGCGAGGATATCCAAGCGCGCTCAGCTTCAATCGAACCAATAGTGGCCGAAGGATTGTTTGCTCCACGTGGAACGCCGTCGTTGGCATTCCGGAAGTAAGTGGATGTAATCCTGACATCAGTCCTCAGCATCTTTCAACATTCTGTCCCACAAGTAGAGAGACTTGCGAGCAACGGGGCAGAACCTTGGGGAAGCCGGAAGTCGAGAAAGGGTGGGATACATGCTCTCTCACGAAATCTAGCGTGGTGTAACCTGCGGCTTTGGTAGCATCCATTGAGTGCACACGCTAACCGTATCACGTATGGCTGGTTCGACTCTGTGACCTTGGAGTCCTGCAATAGAGACTGAGAGTGAAAACGTACCGAGTTTTACCTGTGAGGGCTATAAATCAGGTCGCGGTCGAGGATGTTAGAGAGAACGACTTCCACCCTCATCCGAATCACGTAAATGGGTGAGGATTTTGTGTGTAGATTTGGAGGTGAAATCGGCCAAATTCGCCGTAGACTAAAACACCCCCAGAATTAGTCATCGGCCTTATAGGCATCGCAATTTCCGGCTGCCAACTCTCTATATTCTGCACACGGCGAGGATTAACTGCCCAATTCCTTTCAATCTCAAAATAAACATACCAAACCATGGAAAGAGAGACAACCTCTACCCACCGCCCGTGTCACGATTTATCTTCGCCAAGTGCCGTTTTCTTTTGCTCCCAATGTGACAAACCTTTCTCCAATGGTAGGACGTCCTCAAGGGCCTATGTTCTACTCCATGATATCTAACATTTGGGCTAGAATCCTCACGTCATCGTCATGCTCGTTACTGTGGCAGCCGTATGCGTAAACGGCCGCGATCATGTCGTGCGTGTAATTCTGCGAAGACAAAATGCAGCTTTGAAACACCTTGTTCGCGGTGTATGAAGAAGAGCATCGAGTGCGTTTATGATAGAGCAGGGGGGAGGCGGGCGTTGCCCACTTCATCAGGAGCAGTCCAAGAGATAGGCCCAGGGTCTTTGAGTACACCAAGTGCTTCGCTTGCTCCTTGGTCGTTGCATGCGGATGACGGAAACTTGTCCAATGCAACCTTTACAGACCATCTAGCTATGGATGACACCCAACATCACTTTACCAACGGCAATAGTGCTCCATCGATTGACCCGAGCACGCAGACTTTTTCGCTCAATGAGCCTCTTAATCTCGATGGGCTCCTCGCGTTCGAGTATGATGATTCGGGTCAGCTTCAACGCTTTTCGGATGTCTCGGTGGCTCCATACGACAAATCTGACCAGAAACCGCCATCCTGGTGTACATGGACTCGCGAAGGTGTCTCTCTGTCCGTGGTGACAGAGAATCCTATCGTGGGGCTAGACTCTAATCTCCTAGCAGTCCTGCAAAAGGAGCGGCCTCATGCCCAGCACAACGTCAACCTTGTCATCCAGTCGTTGAGATCATTCCCCACGATGATGCTACGAAGGGACACTTTTCCTTGGTTTATCCATCCGCATTCGCAACTCCTCTCGAGGCCACCAAGAGCTTCTCTACCTGAAGCATTGACAACCTGCATGAGCATTGCGCAAATGTTTGCTTCACGAACATCTGAAACAAAGTCTTATCTCTGGTGTACCATCAAAGCCGAGTATCGTCATTTTGTCGATGAGGTGTGTTTTCTCCCACATCGGGTTCTTCTCATTCTGACCACCAAAAGAAACACCACATGCCCATATTCGAACTCCTTGCCGCAACGCAAGCTTGCATGGTTTACCTGATTATGTGTATCGTTGACCAATCTCCTGAGAGCGAAGAGACTAGTTTAGACCTTCTCATGGCATTACATGTAGGTCTCCAGTTATACTCCTACATTCAAGAACTAACCTGCGCAGACCCTTTACGTCTCATTTAAAGAAGCATCCGCAGGAGCCATACTTAAAGATGAGCTTTCTAGCCCGAGTTCGAACTGGGAAGATTGGATCTTTGCCGAATCTCAACGAAGGTATGCCTTCTGCTCTATCTCTGTGCGTCTTTCGGATTCCTGCTAATTGAGACTACGCAGGCTTGCGCATCTATGGCTCCTCATTGGCTGCGTCATATGTATCAAGACCGGAATCCCCTGCGATCCATTGCAAAGTTATAGATCTCTCCCGCTCCCTGGCCTGAAAAATCTCTGGGAGGCGCCCACGCAGTCTGCTTGGGAGTTCGAATACGAAGCTAGCCACATTCTTCATACAAGCGGATTAGTAACCCTGGGCGATCTGGTCGATGCACAGAAGTCCGGCTACTCGCCGTCCAATGCACAGAAATTGGATAAGTGGAATGCAGGAGTCGATAATCTGGGCGCTTTATTGAACCTAATTGGCACTATGGTATGACTAAGCCGTTTAGTGTGGACATTCCAGCTTCATCCAAACGCTCTGTCTGCACTCTCAAGCCTACCAACTACCAAGGGACGATTCCGTCCTTGTCCGAAAACGTCGCAGTTGGACCTCCCTTCTCAGCAGTGGCCAATTCAACAATCCTCTGTGCGCCCGCCTCTACTGGCGAACCCCACGCGTTGAAGCCAGTGAGCTTCGTCTGGACCAATCCAGGACATGCCGCATTCACCAGGGCACCGGTACCATCGAGGATCCGGGCGTAGTTGAGCGCCAACATGTTGACGGCCGCCTTGCTGGCATCGTATGACTTGTAGTCTATGGCGTAGTATGGCGTCTCCTTATTTGTCGACTCTAGAAGGGATCCCATCCGCGATGAGACAAAGACAAGGCGCGCAAAGTCGGATTTGCGAAGCAGCGGCAAGCACGCCTCGGTCAAACAGGCCGTTCCAACGACATTGGTGCTGAGAGTCTGGGTGAATAGCTCTCGTGTCGACAGATTCTTGTAAGCTTCGGTGACGCCGGGGACGTAGTCGATCAGGATGCCCGCGTTGTTTATCAGCACGTCTAGTACTCCAAACTCGTGCTCGATCTTGCTCACGGCTGCTGCAATCGACTCGTCTGAGCTGAGATCCAGCTGGACTGAGGATGCTGCGAACCCTGCCGCTTTCAAGGCAGCGGCGGCTTCGGTTCCCGCTGCTTCGTTTCGCGATCCGATGATGACGTGGTATCCGTGGTCTTTGGCCAGCTGGGTCGCTACGGCAAGCCCGATGCCTGTATTGGCACCAGATATGAGTGCGATTGTTTGTTTGGGAGTCGTCATTTTTTCTGAATTCTTGTCGAAAAGGGTAGAGGCAATAAGAGCAGTGAAGTGGAAAGGGATGAAAGGTTAATGGCTGCTAGATCGATACGATTCCTGCACGTATTAATAGGAAATCGGTCAAGGCCATTTTTGCCGTCTTACAAATGAGCAAAGCGAGTTCATGATAGAGAATGAGAGAGTTCGGCAGATTTCGCCGTCGTTCTGGCAGAGTTCGCCGTTGTCCAGGCACAGTTCGCCGAAGCCGTATAGCACTAAGCTACTACCAGGTTCAACTACCATTGTAGTGATTTGCTTACTCTATCATTCCGATTCATGTGCCAGAGTTAACTATCCTCAAGATCTGACTTCTCCTACCTCTTTATTCGCAGCTCCACCTCCTCATTGTGGTTAAGCGTAGTTTTCTCCGACGTCGAGAACCCGCCTAACGGTACTGAGAATGAACTATCGGAGTTCAGAGTGAGCTTAGCCTCCACTGTTAACGTATCTTATAGCGATGCCGAGGCAATACTTGCTAAATAAGGCGCAAAGTCGTACGAAATCAGTCGAGCAAAATAGTGCGTTACCTCCACGTATTCCATTTCCTTACCCCAATCCCAAGGCTCTAAATCAAGCCTCTATCAAAAGGATTAACAAAGATTGTTAAGGCACCTCTGTAAGGATTTCAGCCCACCTGGTTGCAAGTCCTCACGAGATCAGCCGCGCGAAACTTTGTTCAGAGACGCGGAGGGCACGCAGCATGCACCTGGTGTCGTTGCTTCTTACTACATGACCACAGCGTTTCAATCAGGTGGAGATTTTCGACAACATGAAATCCCCCGGGGTCACCCTCCGATAGAGTCTAACTGCGGTCAGTTGGAAGTTCTTACAGAATCGACCGTGCAAGTTGGGATTTCGGTAGACGCGGAGGGCACGCAGCGTGCACCCATCGTAGTTACTTCTAAATACATGACTACGGCGTTCGAATTAGGTTGAAGTTTTTTTTAGCACCATAGAAGTCTGCTGGGGCACCTCCGATGAAGTGTAAGTGTGGTTTGGTTGTAAGTTCTTACAGAACCAACCGTGTGAATTGGATTTTTGGTAGACGCGGAAGTGGGACGTGGTGTAGTTACTTTCCATCGCAAATGCAAGAGCATGTAAATCAGCTCCATCGCATTTTACTTCCGGAAGAGAAAGAAGCACCCTCGCAAACGAAGAAGGTCGATCAGTTACAAGTTCTCGCAGAATCAACCGTGTAGATAGAATCCCAGGAGACGCCGAGGTCAACGCGGAGGCTACATGTCGTAGTCACTTTGTACTCTAAAAGAGGTAGCTCGTGAATTAGATTCATTTGCAAAAGGCTTCGAAGAGACGCTGAAGCCACTCCGCGAAAATTTGAGCTGCGCGGTTACTTGTTTTCACACAATCAACCGTATAACCAAACTTTTGTTGAACGCAACGTGCACGTAAAGGGTCACGCGGAGGGTACGCCGCGTAGTTACTTCTAGTCACAAGAGCAGGGGGTCCAATATCAGTACTCTGGAATTACGCGTAGACCGGAATGCTGAGGTGCCCCAACAGATAATTCCGATCGCCTGGTTGCAAGTTCTTACGGAATCAACCGCGTAAGTTGGAATTTGTTAGACGGGAAGGGGACTCGGAGACTACGCGGTCTAGTTGCTTTTAATGCCGAGAGCAGGAGTTCCTAAGTCAGACCTACGGAATCAGGCTGCAACCGGTCGTTGGGGTGCTTCAGTTAAAAGGCTAAGTTGATTGGTTAGAAGTTTTCACAGAATTGACCGTGTGGAGTAAGATTTATTAGAGGCTGCGAGCACGTGGAGGGGGCCAGGGAGGCTATGCATTGTAGTTACTTCTTTTGACGGAAGCAACGGGCTGTAGATTAGGCTCCTGGAAGAAGGACATTAGGGCGGCGACGAGTTGCTGAGGTTCCTCCGCTTACAGATTAGCTTGAGTGGTTGTAAGTTTTTACAGATTCAACCGTGTGAACTCACTTTTGAGGGACGCGGCGTCTACGTGGACGCTGTGCGTTGTAGTCACTTCTTATATCAGAAGTAACGGGCTATAGATCAGGCTCCTGGCAGAAGGATATTAGGACAGGGAAGAACTGCGGAGGTCCCTCCGCGTCGAGATTAACTTGAATAGTTGCAAGTTTTCACAGAATCAACCGTGCGAAAGGATATTTGATAGACGCGGCGTGCAAGCAGAGGACAATGTGGCGTGTTTGCTTTCTTTGACAAAAGCAACGGTCTGCAGATCAAGACTCTAGTAGAAGAATTTTGGGTTGAAAAAAGAGTTGTTGAGGCAGCCCTATGGAGGAACAGGGTCAATTTATTACAAGTCTATACAGAAGTGACCGTATGAGAGGGGATTTTCATAGACGCAGAGGGGGACGGGGAGGCTACATCTCGTAGTGACTTCCTAGCACATAAGTAACTGCGCATATTCAGGCCGATGGTAGAGGACTTCTAAGGATAGGGCGGACTACTTTCATCTGTTAAAGTAGCCACTCACCCCTCATCCATCCAACAGCCTCACATCCCTTATCTGCCTAAGCCTCTTCCATGTTACACACAGCTCAAACACTGTTCTCCGTGCCTCATTCCTCACAACTGCAAACGTTTACTCCCTGATCTCCTTCACCCTTGTTGCAGCCCCTACTAGCTCCCTACACCATTCGTAACGGTCCACACCCTCTTCCCAGGGCTAGCCATGTTAGGCGTAATCATTTATGTCTTCGTGCCAAGATTGGTGGTTGTGTTCTGGACGTCTTTGTCCATGGCGATAGGGTCTTGGGCCACGATGGAAATGTGAAAAAGATGGCAGCCCTGGGCTTGGATGGAGCTGGGGGTTTCGAGGAAGTCGAGCGTTGTCTCTAGCGATGTGGATGTTCTGAGTGTTCTGTAGAGGAAGAGAATTGAAGGAACGATCAGGGATATGGAGATGAAAATTGGGAGGGCTTGGTTCAAGAGGCGGGTACGGGGGGAGTCGGGGCAAACGATGGAAAGGAGGAGTATCAAATTTGGAAGGTTTGGTAGCTCGATAGAGGAGAAGGGAAGGTATGAGAAGGGAGAAGAAGACGAAGGTGGAGAGGGCTTGGATGAGGGCGATGGTAGTGGGGGTGGGAGAGGACATGGTGAGGTTGAGTAGATAGTGTGATATTTTGGATAACATCTTTTACTTATATATAGGACGAGCGACTAAAGCCCGACTTTTCTAAGAGGAGTGAGGTGGCACTTTGATGGCAGCAAGCTGAAAAGTCGACGTCGTCGTCAAATGCCCCGTTTCGTAGCTTTACAAGCGTTCGCAAACGCATTGAGTTCGTTCGGGGGACTTGGGCAGCCTATGAGCAGGATCCTCACTCCTCTCCCTTCCGCTCATCCCAAAACCCCTTCCCATAGCTCACAAGCACCTCCTCTCCGCTTTTAATGCCCCTTGCTCTAGCCCCCTTCCCGCTCTTCCCTGCACTCAACACATAAACCGCCATAACCTTCTCTACAGCACCCCCTCCCACATCCAACCACACCCCCCTAAATTCAGCATTTGGTACCGGCGGCCCTACGCCACGGTAGTCATTGATGAAGCGCGCCTCATTACCTATCCTCGTAGCGTCCACACCGATGCCTAGCTCGCGGTCGAGGGAAAGATCGTAGTCGGACGCTGGGTCTTCCTCGGCTTTGCCGTGGACGTAGCCGAGGTAGGGTAGGATGAGAGTGTTGGGCTGGAGGCTTTGCGCAGCGAAAAGGCCATGTTGGTTATGTGCCGGGTGGGTGGGAGAAGAGATGGGGGTAATCCGGACATTCGAGTAAGGAGCCGCTGATTTGATAATCGTGGGCGAGGTGGTTGCGGGTGTATTGAGTGCTGTTAGGACTTCAGGAGCCAATTGTTTGGAGTAAGCAGGCCGCCGGATGTAGGAGATGCCTGAAGGCCATCCTTTCGGTGAGACAGCCTTACTGGAAGTCTTGTTCGACTTGAAGTCCTTTTTTGAGACTTTCGTGTCTTTCCTTGAGGAGGCTATTTTAGGCCCCATTCCAGTATTTTGAGTATCTAGAGCAGTAATGTTCAGTCGACGGAGCCGTATAGGTCTCGAAGTTCAGTTTCAGCCATATGTTGCTATTGCCGGAATGCGCTGATGTTCTGGACAGTGAGACAGGCGATTGAATGATTACGGAGTATGCGGATGGTAATTAGACACCAGGGACCTGGCAATTAGATGAGCAATTTGGTGTAGCTAGCAACGTTCTCTGCTATTGATCTTCGACGCGGATCGTGAAGGGCGGAATTTCGAGGTTCCTGAGATTTGTGGCCCAAATTTGGCGGTTTCGAATTTGGAGTTGTGTAGCGGGGTGCGGTAGTGGCTGCTGTGGGAGTCCTGTGGCGCTCTACCGGTGAGGTTCTGTCATGCGAGATTCAGCCGTAGGAAGCTCTAGCCGCAGGAAGCTCTATACTGAGAAGGTAAGTTCTGTCATTAGTGTGGGTGTTGCGAGAACTGAATCTGGGAGAGCTGGTGGAGAGCGAGGTCCGCAATGTTGTTGTCGTCGAGCCTCCGGCATTCCAGGAGGCACATATCTGAGTATTTCTTATTCAGCGAACTCCTGAGAGGTCGCCCAACTTCGGCGAAACTTTTCCTCGGCGGCGCAACTGCACTGGTGGCATGGTGTGGTGTGGGGAGCGCGGGCCTTCGTTTGTCTTATGGCCTTGAGGCTCTCCTAATGCCAGCCACCGACGACGACCCACGACGCCTTCATCTCCGAACGCGACTCCAGACCCACTCGATGGGGAACGCGTGGCTTGCACGGGACCTGGCCAGCTGGCGACGCAGAACGTGGAGACTGCGAAATCGAACTCCTGATGGAGGGCGGCCCTGAGTGGAACCACGCCGCACGGAGAAGCGTAGCCGTCCAGCCAAACTGCACGACCGTGGCGCGCATCAGCTCGCAGCTCACAAGACAAAGGCACGTGAGAGGGCGCTGAGCTGAATTGAGGCCGATATCGACTTGTCAACTTCTTGGAAGGCAGCTAATGCTGACTACCAGCGACAGCGCCGGCGGAGCGGTCTCGTTGAGCGTGTCCACGATGCAAACCTAGAGAAGCTGGGCAGCTGGGCACTCGGTTGTGTGGCAAATGGTGCGACTGGTTTGCCTCTCCTGTCAAGCGCTCCACTGAGGTGCAGCAGACGCAGGAACCCGAGCCCCTTTCCGTATTGCATGCAGCCAATGGCCGCCTCGCAAATTTTTACCACGCTTCTGGGCTCAGCGTTCGCAGACGTCCGTTTTGCACGGGACGACACCACGCAACAACAGCGCGACGACGGCGCAACTTTCCCCAGCGGCGTCTATTTTAGGACCTCAATCAGCGCCCCTGCTCGCCGCGACGGCCTGCAGATCGCACTTGGAAGACCGTTGCGCGCAATCTGCGAAGCTTCCAGCCCGGCCAGCCCTCACACGGCGCACTCGGCGCCGCGGCCATTGTCGACCGCCCGCACCCAATCCAAGACAGACCAGCCTGCCACACGGGATCCAGCGATGGCGCCCACGGCCACAGCAGCGGCATCCTCACCGGACGCGGCCGACTGGTGCAACGGGCGACCGCGGCCTCAGAATGCTCGCCAGGCCGCCAGCGTTGCAGTCGCATCTCGTGCGTCACGTCACGCAGTCATGGCTTTGCCCACGCCGACACCAGCCAGCTCGCTATCAACGATACGGTTGGCAGTCGGCTGATCCGGCGGCTCGAAGCTTGAGGGCCTCAGACGAGGCTGGTCGGCCCACTGATAGGCTGCACGCCGGGACAGGTCGCCCGCGCCCCTGGTGATGAGTGAGCCCTCGATAGTGTGCTGCAATCTCGTGTGCGGCGGAAATGCCCAACGCTGATAGGAAAGTCGCCGGGCCTGGGTGGGATCCGTCAATAAACAGGCAGATAGCGGCCCTGACCGCGCTCCACTCTCCGCTTCCGGGACGTCCCCCTTTTCGTATCCACCAACGCCCAGCAGCCGACAACGCGCCCACCCTGGGCCGGCAGGGCTGGTCGGTGCGACCTCCAATCGATTCCTTGCGTGTCGACCCCGGCAAGGCCTGCCCGCTGCACGGCCTACTCGCTGGAAGCCCTGAGTATAAGACCCAGCTGCTCACCACATGCTCTTTTCTTCTTCACCCACATTCGCTCTCTCACGAACACCAACGGTCTTTGCCGATTCCACTCGTTTAATCAACGCCCCGACTATCAACTCCTCCTCAAGCCCTACCAACAAACTCCACTTACCGTTCACCAACGTCAATAATTAATATCAACAAGATGCGTTTCTCCTCCACCATCGCTGCCACCGCCGCCCTCGTGGCTGGTGTGTCCGCTGGCTACGGCAACTTCACCGCCTCCCCGGTCGCCTACGTCACCGAGACCTACGTCGACTACACCACCGTCTGCCCGGAGGCCACCACCCTGACCATCGGCGAGTCGACCTACACCGTCACTGAGGTCAGTTTCCCTAGAGCATCCTGAAATTCGAGCAATCACTAACTCCCCTTCAAGGCCACTACCCTGACCATCACCGCCTGCTCGTGCACCCTGACCAAGCCCGTCTACACCAGCCTGGTCACCTCGTGCTCCACCAGCGCGGCCTCCGCGGCCCCGGCTCCCCCAGTGTACACCTCCGTCGCTGCTGGCTCTTCCCCGGCCCCGTACCCCATCGGCACTGGATCCACCCCGGCCTACACCCCCAAGCCCACTGGCACCGGTGCCTACACCGCCCCGATCGCCACCTTCACTGGTGCTGCCAACAAGGTTGGCGCTGCCTCCGGCGCTGGCCTTGCGGCCCTCTTCGGCCTCGTCGCTTACGTCTTGTAAGCGGCTGGTTCATGAGAGGCCTGTCGCGCACCAGAGCAGTTTGATGTTCGACAGGTCGATTATGGATGGGCAGTTTTGGGGATTCGGTTTCTCTCGCGGTCAACGGCTCCAGGCTTCCTATCATGATTCTTAGGCATTGCGATAGGCGTCTGGGGTCGTTTCTCCGGGCGTGCGGCGTCATCCACCTGTACGGATGGTTCTTGCACCGAGTTGCATACCTTAATTTCTTGTTGACGCTTGGTACATCGATGGAAGGGCTCCAGTCAAGATACTCTGAGGGGCGAATGTTCAAGTGGTGTGGTCTGGAGAATTCATGTTCATAATAACTCGAGCGATGTTGGATAGTCATCTTCCCGGGAAGAGTTTGGGCAAGCTTAATCACATGTTCTTTTCCACTACTCGTCGTCTTGATACCCTCTTGCGCGTCTCTTTCTTCGGTGGTCCGCCCAGGCGGCAACCCTAATGGTTCCAGTACATCTTTTTTGGGAGTTTTGTCGGTCTTCCTGTCAATGATATCCAATGCGCAGGGCATATAGAGAGTCTCAGGTTACTTTATACGATAGCTTAGATTTATGGCCGATTCTTCAACATACGCATTGCCTGGGACGCCGACTTTTGGCCCAGCACTTTTGATCTCGTGCAGAATTGTAGCACTGTGAACTCACTGAATTGATGGCAAACGGCGTGGTGTGAGCGGAGTGGAGAGAGGTCTGACATCCATAATGCTGGCAACGTTCCGGGGGGATGCGATTGACCCGGAATGTAAAATTGCGCAGGTCCCACGGCGGCTCGCTATCGATTCGGCTACACTTCCTCATCAAAGCAAGACTTACGCTACTGGTTTCTGGTTCTCTATGCCGCATTTAGATAGCTGTACGACAAAACTTCCAAGGCGATGGAGCCTGTCAGGCCACGATCGCTCTACGCTCTGGACCTGGTGAATCACTGCGGCGGATGCAGTGGGTGTTTCCGGCGCAGGAATGGCGTTGCTGGCGCGAGGGGGAGATGCGGGAAGCTGTCGTGAAATAGACTTCCAGGGTCTACGACGACACGGCATGGCTTTTGAAACACTGAGATAACGTAAGGAGCCTGGTTACGCAGCTAGAGATTAGGGAGATACGCATCAGTGGGTCATAAATATGTGCACCCGATTTTATGCCATCTTGAGTACTGGAAGCAAAGAGGCCAAAATCCCGCTCTGAGCACACTTACATCTTATCCGGATTTCAAGCAATGTGATGAATCTTCTCAAGTAGTAGGGCGAGTGTGCAACCTTTAAGAGAAGGCGCAGTAAATATCATCTGTTATTCAAACGTGAGAGATCTGTTGGTGTTGAAGTTGCATTTACCTATCTACCCCGCTAAAATGAGGCTGACACCCACGCGCCTCCCACCACGGCTCCGTCATTCCAGGCACCACCACTCTGCAGCCTATCACCCACGTCTCTGCGTTCCTTCCTCTCCCCCTCTTTAACAATCTGCCATGGCCTGTAAACACGTCGACGCTCCGGGTAGGTCTCCGCCAGCTACAGTACATAGCTTCCACAGACTTAACCACCATCGCAGAGCTTCATGCCCCCGGGCCAACCCAGTCTGTTTACCGTGAAGACTGCACACAGTGCTTTGACTCAATAGTAGGATTCATCAAAGACGCTCTTCAAGATCATTACCTGTATAGTTAACAGAATACCTGTTTCAGGACGACCCCTCTGGCTTAGATGTTTGCCTCTTCTGCTTCAACGGAGGCTGCACCGGCGACAGGAGCCACTCTCTCCTCCATCATGTCTCGAGCAAGCATCCCCTTGTCCTCAACATCAAGCGTACTAGGAAGAAGGTCAAGCGGGACGAGCCACCCCAGAAGATCTCTAAGCTCTCCATCGCCGCCGAGACGGAATCGGACCGCTACGACACGACCACCCAAGTCAAATGTTACGAATGTGGCATCGACGACGTTGATCGGACCTCGGGCAAGCTCTCCAATGTTGTGGACGCTGTGCTAAAGGCAAATACATTCGCTAGGCAGGAGGAAGTGAAGGCGTGGGAGCAAGAGTTGACGGCATGCGAGCACACGCTGTATTTGGAACAGCAACCTGCGAGAGTGATCGAGTCTCAAAGCCTTGGCCATTGCTCCAAGTGTGAACTGAACGAGAATCTGTGGTTGTGTCTCACATGTGGCAACCTTGGCTGTGGTAGAGCTCAATTCGGAGGGACCGGAGGAAACTCCCATGGTGTTGCACATACCCAAGACACTGGTCATCCTGTGGCGGTCAAGCTTGGTTCCCTGACGGCAGATGGCACCGCTGATATCTACTGCTACTCTTGCGACGAGGAACGAGTGGATCCGGAGCTCCCAGATCATCTGATGCACTGGGGGATCAACATCAAGGACAGAATCAAGACGGAGAAGAGTCTCACAGAGATGCAGGTTGAGCAGAATCTGTTGTGGGAATTCTCTATGACTACAGAGGATGGGAAGGAGCTGAAGCCGCTTTTTGGTGCTGGATTCACCGGACTGAAGAATCTTGGTAATAGCTGTTATCTGGCAAGCGTGCTTCAGAGCCTGTTCGCCATGCCAGAGTTTTCAGAGCGGTATTATCTTCCTAATGAAGCACCCCCGAACACATCCACCCCCGCAGAAGACTTGGAAACGCAGTTGCGGAAGCTGGCAGATGGTCTGCTCTCTGGACGCTACTCCAAGCCTGATAGCGATATTGTTGTCTCGGAGCACACGCCAGAAGTACCACACCAGAAAGGCCTTGCTCCTGCTATGCTCAAGCATCTTATCGGACGAGGACATGCCGAGTTTTCCACAATGAGACAACAAGACTCTTTCGAACTACTCCTTCACCTCCTGAAGCTCATCACGCGCTCGCAGCACCCATCAGGCTTGAAGGATCCTGTGGAGGCTTTCCGCTTCGTCATGGAGCAGCGACTACAATGCCTAAACTGCAAGAAAGTGCGATATCGTACTGACGAGCAGGAGAACATCTCAATCCCCGTGCCCATCAGGAGAGTTCCAAAGGAAGCCAAGATGGATGTAACCGATAGCGAAGGCAAAGATAAGGAGAAGGAGGAGTTCGAACCTGTGACTTTGAAAGAGTGCCTGGACATCTTTACAGCTAACGAAATGGTTGAGCTCACCTGCTCTTCTTGCGGCAGCACAGACGGCTTTCTGAAGAAATCGCTCTTCAAGACTTTCCCTACAGTGCTAGCAGTCAATGCACGTCGCTTCGAGTTGGTCAATTGGGTTCCCACTAAGCAGGACGTTCCGGTCCTTGTCGACGACGAACCATTCTCCTTTGATGCCTACAAATCCCATGGACTCAGCGATGGCGAAGAGTTGCTTCCGGAAGATACTAATGTCGGAAGTGCTCCCAAGTGGGTGCCAAACGAGGCTGGCCTGGCAATGCTAGAGGCAATGGGCTTCCCGCGTGTCAGGTGCGAGAAAGCGCTACATGCTACAGGAAACGCGGATCCAGAAGCTGCCTCTAATTGGCTGTTCTCTCATATGGAAGACCCTGATATTGATACGCCTATCGACTTCAATGCCGGTGCTGGCGCCGGGGGTGCAGCGTCAGCTATTGATCCGGAGAAGATCGAGTCTCTGTGCAACATGGGCTTTGGCGCCCCTCAATCTCGACAGGCGTTGAAGGAAACTGGTGGCGATGTTGAGAGGGCGGTGGACTGGCTGTTCAATCATCCTGACGCTGTTGGTGACTTCGATGACGACAGCGGTAGCAAGGTACGAATCATCATCTTGACCTTCTCTCTATCTATTATATTTGAAGCCCTAGAGACTGACCATGTCCACCGTAGGATGGCCCCTCAACCGAACCAGCTGCAAAGTTCGTTCCTGGCAGTGACAAGCTGCCTGCAACATTCAAGCTGGAATCTATCGTCTGCCACAAAGGAAGCTCGATACATGCTGGGTAAGCAGCCAGTTACAGAATCTGCCATTTCCTTCAAAAGCTAACATGATCGAACAGGCACTACGTAGCATTTATTCGAAAGAACATCCCAGAAGACAACGCCACGTCGTGGGTGCTCTTCAATGATGAAAAGGTGGCCAAAGCAGGCGACGTGGAGGAGATGAAGAAGTTTGCATATGTCTATTTCTTCAGGCGTTCGTGAGGCAAGTGAGCGGCATGCATACGACTTGGCGATTGGTGGTGATTGGCATTTGCGGCTGGCGCAAAGGTGGGTGGTGCATTGGCGGGGCGGCAGTCGATTGGATGAGGCATGAGGGGTGAAAAGCGAATATGATAGACAGGTTTATACACCATTCCCAGGGGGTTTACGCCTCCTTCATTCCCTCTCCGATACAGGCCCGTTGATAAGGAGGTCCTTTACAAATCAAGAAGTGTTAGATCTATTCGTCTTGCAATTCTTCGATGTCGTGCAAGATTTATTGAAGTGGAATCATAGGACGTCGCCGGATATACTGCGGAAGAATCCCATCGCACGGCACAACAGTAGGACTTGTTGCATACATTAGCTGTTGTAAATACCGGCATGTCCAGGCATAGTTCACTTTCTTGTATGCAGTGATGAGGTGGCTAGTATATGGGATGAAAAGCGATGGCGGCAATAGATGGCAAGTGAATAGGAAAGTGCCGAGTGAATTGAAGATACAGACTTATCTACCTACCTGCAATTGGTACAAAGGCTCGGACATATCGGAGTAGTGCAGCTTTATCCGCTTTCACCCTTCACCAGATGGAAAAACGTGGGGCACACATGGCCCGTGCACGATTCGCCACATGACATAAGTCTGGGCGTCTGGAACTTAAACTCCTCGGGCTAAGTTGAACGAGCTTTCGCGTCTCGAAGAACACCACATCCACCACCTACAACCCACCTACCACCTACAATCCATCTGCGTAATCTGCTTTTGCCATCGACCTACCGCCCCTTCAACCTACACGCACATCTCCAGCCCTCCACCATGTTCAGGAGGATCGCAACCACCGTCCCCGCGACCGCGGGCCGAGTTCTCTCCAGCGCTGCCAGACCCTCCATCGCCTCTCCCATACGGACCGCCGCGCCCGCGAGCGTTGGCGTCAACAGCCGGCGGACCTACCACGAAAAAGATGAGTCTTCCCCCCTCTCTCACCGCCGTATGTCGGAGCAATTGCCACACCGCACACCTCGGCCATAAGCCCCCCTCATCTCCGCCCTCTCCCCCTCTTGTTGTTCATCCGCGACGCTCCGCTAACACCTTGTCACTGCTCGACCACTACAACAAGCCGCGCAATGTCGGCTCCATGTCCAAGAACGACACCGATGTCGGCACGGGGCTGGTCGGCGCGCCGGCGTGCGGCGACGTCATGAAGCTGCAGATCCGCGTCGACCCCAACGACAACACGATCTCGGACGTCAAGTTCAAGACGTTTGGGTGCGGGAGCGCGATTGCGAGTTCCTCGTATTTGACCGAGTTGGTGCGGGGGATGACGCTGGAGGATGCGGCGAAGATTCGGAATACCGAGATTGCGAAGGAGTTGTGTTTGCCGCCTGTGAAATGTGAGTTTTTGCTGAAAACGATAAGGGGAAAGGAGATGGGGGATTATGGGCTGACGATGAATTTGATAGTGCATTGCTCCATGCTCGCCGAAGATGCGATCAAATCCGCCATCTCGAACTACTACACCAAGAACCCCAAGGCGCGCGCGACGGATCTGGGAGGCACCGGTGCGCCGATTCCGAAGGTCGAGATTGAGACGGTATCGGCGGGGTCAGCTGCGTGAGACTCTCTCAAAGAGAAATGGGATGGTTGAAAATTGAGTCGGAAGGGGATAGGTGGTTGTGGACGAAACGTCGTTTCATACCCTGTGGCTTGGGTTTCTATCACTGGAGACGGCGAGGACAACCGAATTCTCCCCTTACTGAAATGGCCCTGATGGCGTTGGGGTTGGCGTGCTTGCTTGCTTGTGGTTTCTTCTTGAGAAGCGAGTGGGAATTGAAATTGGTAGTTTTGTAGCTAGTGCCTGAGACAAATCTCAACTGCTTGAACCTACACCAGTATCCTGCCATCATGAGTGTGAGATACAAGACGGCGATAACTGCGTTGTTAGTGACGTGGTGGTCAACAATAAAGAAGCTTGCGAAAACGCCAAGCTGCATCCCACAGCAAGCGAAGAAATGAAGCGTAGAGGATGACGGGGTCCCAAGTCTTATGTATGTATCAAGAAAAGAACGAAGAACTAGAGTCCCGTGGAGCAACTACAGACTTATGCAACCCCCCAACCAGCCAAGAACCGCGGTCCCCCAAAGCTCCAGTTATCTCACGCCACTGTTCTGACGAATGGCAGCCGCGGGTACGATCTGATATCGCGGTATCAGATGCTGACATCGGGTGGCCAGGACGTCAACTTGTGTGCATGGGGCACCAGGCTGTGGGTTTGAGCCAAAGGTGCAATGCTGGACTACGGCGCAGCTTGATCCAGGGCCTCTAAGTCGTGGTTGATAGCCCTGTAACTAACGCTCGATTTGTTGTTTTGAAAGCGGGGGTTATGAATGCGGGGAGGGGGCTGGCTTGGGGGCTGTTGGAATGAATTCGGGGTTGATTATGATGTGGCGGGATCTATGGACGGGAGCTAACTAGTCTGTTGCTAATTGGACTTTGCTTTGGGCAATATCATTGGCGTGGACTAGTTATGGATCAGGGCATCGGATTGGGGGGAATGCGCCATGCATTGAGATGTATGAACGGGAGCCCGTCCCGTGCGATTTACACTCGATTTGGGCATGTTATTGACAAGGCTTGTGCAATTAGCCCTTTGATGAGAAAGATGAACTGGAACCAGTCTATGTGATTTGCAACTTGCTCTTTTTTTTTGGCATGATATTAATAGGCCTGTGAGCACGTGACAAGGAGCGCGTTTTAGAATTAACTTCCAACGTCCTCGCGACATGCAAGTTTCTTCACAAAAGAGTTCGCGCGATAGTTGTCTGCTAAGATAGGTTTCGAAACAATGAAGCAAGAATGATATGCCGCTGCAGAGACTCCGCTGTGAGATACACAAAATGCCCGCTCAATCGTATCGTCGTAACATGCGCTCGCTCGCTCACTCGCTCCTTAAAAATGTCTCGAAGCCTCGCGTCAAATCACCATCGCCACTCCTCCCACCTCCAAGCCGCTCTCAATGGCTGATGTACTGAAATACAGCGCTCACCTCCGCACACCCCGCCGCCGTCTCCTGCCTCAACAGCAAGTCCTGAATCGTGCTCAGTGGACTCTTTTCTCCCCCATTGACAAAGTGATTCCACGTGCTTGTGTCACCATACAACATCGCTTGCGCCGTGAGGATCTGCTTCCCATCCTCCTTCCGACATCGCTTGCACTTGAACGTATCGTGAGTGTCGCTAGTCGTGTGATCTCGATACTGGAACAGCTCGCGTAGGGAGTCGAGACTGAAATGGCGTTCGACGTCTTCTGCACTGTCGACGACGCAGGAGGAGAGGGACTGCTTATGGGACTGACGCTGGAAGATCTTTTCCTCGATCGTACCCGTTGCGATAAAGCGGTATACGAAACAGTCTTTCTTCTGTCCGTCACGCCACACACGCGCGAGGGCCTGCTGATCAGCTGCGGGATTCCAGTCTGGGTCGAAGAGGACGAGGCGGTTCGCGCCAATGAGATTGAGACCGCATCCGCCAGCTTTGCTGCTGAGGAGAAAAATAAACTCGGGACCGTCTGGGTCGTTGAATTTGTCGACGAGCTTTTGGCGTTTGGAAACGTTCATGGTGCCATCGAGGCGGAGGCAGCCATAATTGCGTGCGCGGCAAAGTTGCGCAAAGACGTCGAGGGTTTGTGTATAATTGGAGATTAAAACAATCTTGTCGTTGGTGTCGGCGCGGATCCGGGCTAGCATGCGATCAAGGACGAGCATCTTGCCCGAGTACCAAACTTTCACATCGCGGTCCCGACCACGGGCATCTCTCTGAACAAAGTCATCGGGGAAGATGTCCTCGCATCCAGGCAGGTCGCCAGGTAAGTCCAACAGATCTGGATGATTGCAAAGCTTCTTGAGCATCCCGATAGCTTTGAGGGGCTGACTGCCTTTTCCACGAAGCAGGGACTGGATCTCAGGAGTCTTGATAAAGTAGTTGTAGAGGTCCTTCTGGAAGGGTGCGAGATTGCAGAAGACAACGTGCTCGTACTTAACCGGGAGGTATTTCGAAAGGATGTCATTCGTGCGGCGAATGATAAATTTGTTGACCAAAGTGAGGAGCTGACTTAAGCATTCGTCGCCCTTTTTGCGATCAGCATCAGTACCAGAGGCGTCACGTCCTCGGAGAATAGGAAGTTCGAATTTTTTGCGGAAGTCGTTGCGAGTGCCCAGATAGTTCGGATTGGCGAAGTTGAGTAGTGAGAAGTATTCAGAAAGATCGTTTTGGATTGGAGTTCCAGTGAGGATAACACGTTTTTGGACATTGAGTCCACTTAAGGCCACAAATGTCTGGTTTTCGCTATTCTTTAGTCGATGTCCCTCGTCGGCGAGGAGTAGTCCTATGGGTGTCTGCGCTAGTTCTTCAACATTTAACCTTAGCGTTTCGTACGAGACGATCAAGACTGGTCGAACGACAGCACGGCCACTTGCGATAGCCCACTGGCGAAGTTGTTGCGTCAGTACTTCTTTAGATGCCTTGCCATCAATTGCGAATGGAGTTATTGCGTCCGGGCCCAGCCATTTGACTAGCAACGTTAGCATCGGAGCGAATCTCGTGGGAAGCCAAGCCTTACCTAATTCGTTCGCCCAATTTCTCACGAGACTAGATGGGCAGACAATAACACACTTCTGAATTGTTGGTTTGCCTGCTTCGGGAGATTGCTTAAGAAGTGTCCACATCAAAGCAATGCATTGCAGCTGTTTTCGTTAGTGGAAGTCACTGGTATCTGAGCGACGGACTTACTGTCTTTCCTAGACCCATCTCATCGGCCATAATGCATCCTTCAGCATTCGGATCTATCAAACCAGTGGTACATCTATATAAGAACTACACCAATTAGCCATAATCTCCAATCAAACATTCTCTCACAGACCTTAACACCCTCAATCTGATGCGGCCTCAGCACCTTCGCCAATTTCGGATCAATAACCACCGGCACCTTCGGTCTATCATCTACCTTCTTCTTCAACCCTAAAATGTCCGCAAGACTCTTATGCACAACCGGTGCATCTAATGTCACCTCATCTCCATTGCCTTCTCCCTCCTTCGCCTCTTCTACCGCCAGCGTCTTCGGCTTATCATCAACCGTTGGATCATACAACACAATTGCAAACTCTCCACTCGGATCATGCAGCGGCCTCGCCACAAATACCCGGCCTTGCCTCATTCCCAGCAAAGGTGCCGGGCGAAACGCGTTGTACTCCCCGACATTCTTATTCAGTAGCGGCACCGCAAAGCGCGACTTAAATGCCGTGTCCTTATCTTTTGGTTTGAACACCGGGAAGCGATTCGCATCGCGAGTGGCGAGCGCGAGGCGTTCTTCATTAGAGTATGGTTTGTCGCCGTCCTCGACGCTTCCGTCAGCGTCCTTGTAGCTGATCTTGCGGCGCTTGCGGGCGGGTTTCTCGGAAGCCCGTGTTGGGGCAGCAGTACCAGGACATTTGAAGGGGCGGACGAGGCGAGAGACGGTTTCGGGCGTGCCGCCGTAGAGACGGGCGGACTTTTGGGTGGGAGTCGCGTTCTCCTTGTTTTCGCCCGATGCGAGGGCTTTGGGACGCTGCCTGTTTCTCAATTAGTCTCGCGTTGAGGGTGTATAGGGGAGTGCTTATACATTTGGTGGTATAGAGCTGATGAGGTGTGGTGTTTAGGCGGCGAGGTGAAGGTTTTGGGACGCGACTGGTTCGTCAGCGGAAATCGCGCTAGCACATGACTTGCTTAGCATCATCGTCATACAATTCACCATTGCTCTACATTACAAAAGACTACCTTCCCTCCCTCTACACGGAGCATAACTAGAAGCCGAGCACAGACTCACAGAAAACGACAATCATCCGTCTACTATGCCGCTCTGGAGACACTCAATAGGTAGGTTCATCAAGACGAGAACAACAATTGTAACATCAAATACAATTGCGGAACAGCCTCCAAGCACTGCCAATCCTTCCTAAAACGGCGCGTTTTAGTGTTCATTCTCTGTCCGTCCAGCATACGCAGCCTCCCACGCGTCCTGGTCAGCGCCCCGAAGTTTCTCAATATATCGCTTTCCCTCATCATAATCCATCGGCAGTTTAAGTCCATATGCCATCATGAAGTTCTTCAGGCCACGCTTGCCAGAGTACCCCGCGTCCTTCAACCACTCGGAATCCGACTTGTCTTTCGGCTGGAGTGGCATCTGACAGTACTCAAGCACCCACAGACCATCGATCTCCTTGCAATCCGCGATCAAAACCTCCTCTCCTCTTCCATTCCGGTTGAACAAGCTTCCAGTCTCGCTAGACCAGAATATCCCACTCATCTTGAATTTGCTCAGACTAACAACCGTCGTAGGCATTTCCGGGCAGTAGGCAGCGTTGAGTAAGATGAATTGAGTTCCGTTTGAACCGTGAACAAGTGCGTTACCGAATCCAAGAATTGGCAGCTGGCCTGAACCGCTAAGTACGAATTCGTTGTCGGTGGCTGACGTGATTCCGTCGGTGAAGCGGCTGATATCGTTGACGATATGTCGAGTTGTATTTGAAGAAATAATGACGCTTTTGCTCAGCTTGTAGGCCGGGGCAACGTCCTGGGAACGATTTGTCACTTTCGTGACGCCTCCAGCATAATTCATGTATGAGGGCATATTCGGAAAGAGGTAATGGTCAGATAAGTAATTGTGAGATTAGAGATTTGGAAAGCGATACGACGCGGTTTATACCTATAAGCTCGCTCGAACTCAGCTGAATGCTCAGCTGAATGCTGCCTGTTGTTTGCCACCGTTGCCACCGTTGCCGCCTGCAAACCTCTCTTAGCACCTCAATACAACTCATACTTCCTTCACTGATTCTTTGCCCTTCCTACGCCAGCTGCCAAACATAGAGGTGCAGATCTATATGGACACTGTCAGTTATCGCGGCTTCTCTTTCCGCGTCACGTTACTCTCCTTTCTCGTCACCTGTTATACACGTGCGCTCAACAAAAATACAAACTCATGTTCAAAATAGCTTGGACTTCATTCTCATTCATCATCTGCCCCATCATCTACAACTTCATCAGCACCGTCGCTCGTACCACTGTGATTTCCGAGTAGATTCAGTCACGTGACGTAATCTCGGTGGCAAAATTCATTAAATCTAGTCACGTGACTGAATCTGCTCGGAAATCACGGTGGTACGTAAGAACGTTTATTTACTCCTACTTATCTTTTCTCACTACGTATTTCCGGCATCAAACTCCTTCCAGAACTGCTATCTAACACACGCAACGTTTATAACAAACAATACAGACTTTGTATTGAACCAATCTACCTCCAATGCACTTGCCTCACGGCCAGCTAACAGGATCACCAAATAAGAAGAGAGTGCGGAGTGTATTTTCTCCACGTGGAGGAGACACCTTCCGTGTAGAGCAGACTTCCTCCATGGGTAGATGCTCTCTAAAGAGTATTCCTACTACTCGTTTGACTCTTCGTCCCCACCACCTCGCCTAGGTCCTAGCTGTCTCACAGCAAGAAACTCTACAGGACTCAACCGTATCTCCCACGCCACGTTATCCCCCAACTGCCTCCCCTTTTCAATCCCTAATCTCTCCTACTATTATTATTATTATTAGGTTCTATTAGGCCGATTTAGCTCCCGTTAGGGTCCATGCGGCAGTGCTAT